GAGGGGATAAAAATGCCCTGCCTGAAGAAAGGCAGATTTGGAGGGGTTTGGGTGTAGGGAGTATGGGTGTAGTTTTTGTTTGAGTTTGTTGTTTTTTCCTCTAATGTCTTATATGTTTGTTTCATCAGAAAATAGGAATTTGTTAGGCTGGAAGCATTTTTGTTTTGTTTTACTTTGGTTTGGTTTGGTTTTAAACATGGGTTTCTATAGCACTTGGCTAGTCTGGGACACAACCATTCTTACACCAGATACAGATAGCCTTTAGGGATTGCACATGCTGTCATCCTCTTGGGAGTGTCTCATGCAGCACAAAAAAAAGAATAACTTGGAAATCTACACAGTATTTATGCTACAGTATCAGAGTGAATGCAATGTGCAGGTCCCTGTGGATAGCATTAACCCCCTTGGCAGCCAGGGTGCCCAGGAAAGGTAAGCGGCTCACCTACAGTAATAAGTCCCCAAAATTGCATGCTGAATCCAATTCTGCACCATATCTCGTTCCCTTACCCTGCACTAAGTGCATGAAGACACCCACCCTCAGCACAGGTAAAGGGACAGTCTCCTCCCTCCTGTCCCTCCCCATCCCTGCTCACCCAGCAGAGAAAGCAGCCCTAAGAGGAGACTTCATGACTTGGCATTTCTAGCAGCAAGAGGATGAAAGGTGAAGCTGGGATCAGGGCAGTGTGAGTGCTGTGAATTGCTTAGGTGTTGAGTGTTACATGAGTAGGACTGGAAGTGCTAGGATTTTGTTGACTGCTGGGATTTCGTGATAGGGACTGCTGGGATTTTTGTTGACTTCCCTCAACCATTATTCTGTCTTCTGAAGCCACTGCCTCCTTGCTGATAGCTGCAGACAGCCCTCTTTCTTATTAGTTCAACTAACATATTGCATGGAAAAAGCCAAGCCAACTGACTACGTAATTTTTACTTTCCATTACCAAATTCTTGATACTTTCCAGACCTGCAGTGGCAGATTAATAAAAGACACTTGGGATACCAGTATCAGGTACAGCTAAGTGCTGTAACTTGACATAAAACACACTAAACAAAGATACAACACTGTAGAGTGCTGCATCTGCCAGTGGAGGAGGAATACAATGTGGAAGAGAACTGGTGTTCAAGGGTGTAAGACTGAGACATTGAGAGGGAAGGACCAACAACCAAAACCAGAAAAGCAATGACACTGACATCAGGCCTCTTGATAAAACCAGCAAGCTACCTCTGGTATGTGGTAATGGACATCATAAAACCACTCTAGGTTGACTGTACTGCAGTTGCTTATTTGCAATTTAAATCACAACAAGGAAGCAGTAATTGTCAAAAACTTATCACACGAACCAAGTTAAACCAGTCATGTGATACCAGGGGAACAGGCTAAAGAGTTGGTTGGGATTTCTGCCAATGCCTGTTATTTAAGTGATACTTTTTAACAATGACCCCGTATTTCTCAAACTGCCACACAGTAAGTTCCTTGTAAGGAAATAAAAAAGATGCATCACTTAAGTATGCAGTCTTAACTGGATATGGTAAGGATACACAAGAAGCTGTTAACAGCCCTTAGTGAGATTCTGCAAAGATTATCTCTTTATATTGCCTTACATTTTAGCTTTGATAAAATAAGTTTTCTTCTCTGTATTGCAGATGTAACTGACCAAAGAGAAACCCAACGTTTTCTGGAAGGAAATCAGACTGGAAATAGCCTAGAAAAACAAAGAATGAAGAGTGACAGATGTGCACATGCAGAGGGTAACAAAAGCAGACTTGGAGCAGAGGCAGTTGTCTGCAGCTGACATTAGCCTGTTCTCCTGTTTTCTTGACCTATAGAGATAAGGATGGCTTTTGTAGACCTGCAAGGTCTTTTTGATTGCACAGGAAATTCACGGCGTGTATCATCCCCCCATATTTCCTAGAAGTAGGGGAATTCACACTCCGAATCAGCAAGGTGTTATGGCTTTGTCCCACTCCACAACATCCCATCTGGCCAAATGTAATGCCTGCAGACCACAGCATGGAAAACAGCCAGATGCTGTGTTGTGCTACCAGCAGGAATGTACCAGACCTCTGAGTTCTCACATATCAAGCAGTCCTGATAAATAACATGTTTGCTAAATGCCATGTAAGATTGCCACCCCTGTGGTAGTCCACAGGTATTCACAAAAACTGGAAAGGAACTATGCCAGACAAGGAGGGAGGGCTTCCTTTTACACTTGCAGTTGTAATGTAAAAGGCCTGGACTTCAGGCATTGACCTGCAGAGCTTATTGTCATGCCTTGTTTTTCTGCTTGTACTTGTCTTAGTAGGTAAAGTTCCCACACAAACAAATGATCTTCTTCTTTTTTTAAACAAACAAACAAACAAACAAACAAAAATATGAGTGGGGTACTGTCTCCATGAGAACATTTTTCAGAATTTTATTATGAATTAGAGCTGAAATCTATTACACTTTGTATGCTTGTTCAGTTGGGAATATAGACAAAAATTTCATTAACTTTCAATACACAGACAAAAAAAATGTGCTTGCCATGTCCCCTAACTTCATACATGCATGTAAGAGCAAAACTGACAGAAAACTTGATGTAAATCAGAATAGCTATTCAAAGCATTGGTAGACAACTGGGCACTTGATTTCTCCACGCTCTCCATGAATTGAGAAGCGAGCTCTCCTCAATATTTTGATTAGCATAAGTGACATTTTTAGGTTTCAGTTCATTGAAGAACTTTTTATCTCTGATCTTCTGTTACTATTCTTCTTTAAACATCATTTTATCCAGAAATGCTGCCAGGTAAGTCAGAACAGGTTGTAAACAGATGAGTTCAGGTGCATTTTCATATCTCGTTATATGTAGTTGTTTTTTTCTATCAACGTAGGTGATGATAGCTATAATTTCCTCATCTCTGCAAGTCAGAGTAGTGAATAAGTTGTACCTGATGTTTCTGAACCTTGAAACATTTGTTTTACAGAGACCATCCTCAGAGATGAAAATGGGTACTGATGCTTGGCTTTGGAGGACAGTGATCAAGCTTTTCCACGTTACCTCTCTCTTATCTTATTTATCAATTGTTTGTGGACTTTAAAAATTAGTATTTTGACTTAGTAAATCAGTTTATTAGGTAAGAATTTGATTATGTGGTTCTGTTGCTGATGCACATAGGAATAGATTTTCCCAGAAGGACTAAGCAGATGAAAATTCCTTGCATTTACATCACGCAGTGAGGTGTACATAGTGCCACACAGCTGCTCTGCTTAAATGAGGGCTGTGTTGGCTCCTGCTACTGAGCCTGAATTAATGCCTCACTGTGCTGAGCAGACAAAGGTTAAATATTTAAGAGTGCAACAAAACTTCACCTGGGAAACCCTGGGACTGAATTTGCTGCTCATGCCATCTGGATGTGATACTTCAGGGCCTGAAAAGCAGCTTTTTAAATTGTCTCTCAGTGATATGAATCCTGTTACCTCACACTAGTGCAAAGCCACTTAAACCAGAGCTAAAGATGTTTTTAAGCTACTCTTTCTGACTGCACTGAAATGGATTTGAAGCCCATGCACTGTCAACTCCAGCTGAGAAGCAATTTGAGAAGATGCTGCCTTGCAGCTTTTGATTGCAGTAGTTCAGCTGAGGGGCAACAGCTGACTGTAAAGGAAAGTTTAGTCCTTTCCACGGCAAGGCAGACAGGTTAATAGAGCCATAAGTAATGATGATTATTTCACTTGTTGTGGAGACAGACCTGGAATGCTCCTAACTGGTTACACGATGCTGGAGCAGGCTTGGAGGGGGCGAGGATGAGGACACTTTTCTCTGCAGGCTCCGCTGGGGGGAAGAGCAGGGCCAGCAGCCCAGGTGTGTTTGGATGTTTCCAACAGCATGGCCAAAGTGCCAGACCCACACACAGGCTTTCCTCGCGCTCATTTCTAGTGATGATACATTAGAAATGTTTACTTTGGAAAAAGGAAGCAACGTGAGATTGTCAGGAGAGCTTGAGGCAAGCCTTATCCAACCCAAGGGGTGCACAGCTCGTGGGCTGGAGAAAGCCTGCCAGGTGCTGGGGGAAGGGTGGTTTAGAATCCCAGAAGATAAGGGGCTAACATGTATGTCTTGAACACTGATAGTCGATGGCTGTGGAGCCAAACCAAGCACTGTTGGGACTGACAGACAAGGACTATTGGTACCAACATGCCTTGAGAAAAAAGAGGTTATGACTGGAGCAGAAGTAGGGCAGGACTTTTCTGGGACAAACATCCTTGTTGTAGTTCCTGGGGATAAGCACAACAAAGTACAGCACAAGTGAAGGAATGAGGCCGAGAAGTGGGCATGGATTACGGGGGGGGGGGGGTGTGGCGGAATCAAGGCCACCAAAGACCCCAAAAGCACTCCAACCATTTCCAGAAAGGCCTGAAAGAATGCATGATAACTAATTCATATAGAAAACAAGAAACCTGTCTTCAGGGTATCGAAACCTGTCCATAAAAAGGTATCCCCCAAACCTGGGTGGCACCCCAAGGACATCCCAGCAGCTGGATCGAGACCCTGGAACCAGGACTGATGATCTTTCTTTTCCTTCCATCCTTCCCTTCTTTCCTTTCCTTCCTTCCTTCCTTTCCTTTTCTCCCCTTACTCCCTTTCTTTCTCTCCTCCTCTCCTCCTCTTTAATTCATCTCTTCTTTTCTTTCTTCCCTGTCATCCTACCCCTTTATCCAAAACCCACTGCCGTGTGCTTGTATAGCAGGTCAGAGACTAACACACCAATTCCCAGTAATTTACTAATAAAGCTTTCTGATTCTTTGCGGACCCTCTGACTTCTGCCTTTCCTTTCGACCACGAGCATTTTCAAATCTTGTGGTTTTTCCTTTCCCTGAACGGTGGGACGGAGGCGGCGGGGAACCTTCCAGCGCGGCGCCGCTTCCCGCCCGGACGCTGCCGCGAGGGCGCGCCCGCGGCCGCCGTTGCCGGGTAACGGGCGGTGCGGCGGCGAAGGCGGCCCGGCCGGTCCGGGCGGGGCGGGGGTCGCGATGCTGGACCCGGACCGCGGGCTGTCCCTCACCATCGCCAGGGTCGTGCAGCGCCTGCAGGGCTCCAGCCTCCACTCACAGCTGGAGCGACAGGCCCGGGTGAGCCCCGACCTGCCGCCGGGCCCCCGCGTTCGCCTCCCTTTCGCGCTCCCCTTCCCCGGCGCTTTGTTCCCGGCTGTCGCCCCCGGCCCGGCCCGTGTGGCCTCCTCCGGGGGGCCCGGGGGCTCTCGGCGCCTCTCCCTTCTCCTCTCCCCCTCTCTCCCAGCCCGGCGGGGCCGAGCGGTGTGTTTGCCTTCTGGAGCCGTGTTTACGGTGTCTACCCTTGGGACCGAAGGATTTCGCAGGGAATATGAAGACTATCCCTCTGAAATCTCACTGCTTCAAATATAGGTCCTGAAACGAATTGCTTTTTTAATCTTCCATTTGGAAAGCTTTAAATGCTGCTCCCCCCACCCCCCCCGCTCCTCTAGTGCCCCTGAGGAAATGAGGATTAGGTGAAAGGAAGTGAAAATAAAAAACACGCATGAAAGTACATTTTATTAGCCGGGAAAACAGTTGCCTTATTATTGTACATTATTGAAATATGTTGGGTTGGGTTCTGTAAAATCTTGATTATTTGTTGTTGTTGGTTGGTAAACATCGCTTAAAATTGTACCCCTTTTTTAATCTGCCTTAGTTTTGTTGTGTTCTTAAATGAAACATGATTTTCCTCTTTGAATGTCCCAAAAGCTTTCCAGAGCAAGTGACCTCACTTCGTGCCTTTTGTGTTTTTTGTGTTTAAATTTGCTGTTTTGGTCCCTAAATGCTTTTATAAAGGTGTCTCTGCCTTGCTCCTGTTGGCTGTGCTCTCTAAGTATGTGAGTGAGCAAATGTGTGTGACCTGAGGGGGTCTGGAATTACAGAGGAGTTTAGGGATTGGGTTCTGCTGACTGTTGGGGAATTCAGCATCCCAAGTAGCCTTACAAGAGTGGAGAGGAGTGGAGAGGCAAGTTCAAGACCTTGTCCTCAGTACAGGCAGTGAACAGGGCTCTCTTTTAATGACTCTGCTACTGCTTAAATAAAACCTGTTTGAACTCACTGCTGCACACATTCTTTTATCCCTGATCTGGCTTCACTGTTATTTGGTCCTTGGAAAGTTTGTTTTGAGTCTGGGAGAAGCTTAGTGCAGTCAGGACTTGGTGGGGTGTTTGAGTGCTGCTGGTGGGTGACTGTTTTATAAAACCATTTTGGACACTGGGGACCTGGGCAGTGCCTTTCCGTGGTGGTGGATGGTGTCTGAAAGGGCAGTGAAGTGCCTAAATCCCTCCCTGACCCGATAGCATATCAATTTACTCAATACAAGCAGAACCTCTACATAATCAAAGCATGAAGGTAACCTATAAAATAAATAAAATGCAGTGTAATGTCCACAGTCAAACCTGTCACAGTGGCTTTGCAGAGCACTGTTTTGCAAATGCCTTGTAAAGAATAAAAAAAAAGTATTTTTATAGGTCAGAAGATCATTCCAGTCACATGAGGAAAATAAATAAATAAATAAATAAATAAATAAATAAATAAGGGGAAAGAAAATAAACAAATATTCAAGTGATTCTTAAAAGTAGGTGTTACTTGTGTGAAGAGTTTGTTATAGAAGGTTAAGTCAGAGCTATAGTTCAGTGTAGTGATCTGAAAGACTGGAAAGTTTATCTATACATTAATTAGGGGATTTCTCAAACGAATTTCCTTTTGGAGCTTGTAGTTTAAATTAGGAGAGCCAGAAGTACACCGTGTTTGTCAGGAATCTGTATGTTCTCCCTAATACAGACTTTTATAATGACCTTGCATACATTTATGTTTGTTCATGCACAGAAGATTTGTTTTATTTGTAGTGCTTGGATGGTCACATTATTGCTGTTCTATGCAGTGCAAAGGCCACATCAGCGGGTCCCTTCTCTTTTGTCCATCCCTTTGCAGCTGCACAGAATTTGGAAAGTTTCTGAATTTTGCTTCTGTATTAAATCAATGCTTGATTTCCTTCCCATTACAGAAGGTATTTCTGAATTTGCGTTGTCAAATATGAAACTTTTGCTATTGCTGTGCATCACACCTGAACTCTGGTTTATTGATGGGGTGTGATGGGTTTTTTTGTCTCCTGGTTAACAGTGCTTGGTCTGCACCAGCTGCAGGTTTGATCTACTGGTGGTCCCCTTCTAGGCAATTTTAAGCTGTTTTGGGAGACACATACTGTATTTTGAGAAGTCTTTTGAAGCACTGCATCAGAATGAAACGTACTTCTTTTGGATCTTTATACTGCAGTTATATTTTGCAAATATTCCTCTTCATCTGTTAGTGTAGAAGATGACTTTGCTGATATTTGTTCCTCAAAAATATTTACAATCTTTGGAAATGTGTCAGAATGGATCATAAGGTCCATTATAATATTACCTGAAATTTTGAGGGGTCTTGTAGTCTCACAGGTAGTATTTTAACTATTAACAAAAATGTTTTGTATGTTTTGTAAATTCATCTTCTATTGTCTAGGAAGGAGAGCTTGAAATGAACCGTTTCATTCACAAGTTAATAAAGTTTTTGGGGAAAACACAATATCTCCCACATCATTTGTGAGAGGTGATAGAGTAGCCCTGTGGTTATGAACTGATCACACCGGTGCTATGCTTGACTGTCACTGGGAGCCTGAGCTTGTGTCATGGGCTGTGATACACAGTCTCTTGGAAATAACTTGGGCCTGGGCACCAAATGATTTGCTGTCACAGCTTTACCTCGGGGGATACCAAGATAATCACATTTTTGTCCCAGGGACTGAAGTAGAGGTAGAGTCATATGCTTGTGAGTGACGATTTGTTAAAAAAATGTTAGGTTGATTTTTGTAGGTTGAGTTTTGGGATATTGATGATATTCCTGCAGTTAATATAGAGAGATTAATGCAGAAAAGAATGTTAATGTGCCTGTTGTTTGCTTTGGAATTTCTTCTGAGCATGTTTATTAGTGTGTTTGAAAGGAAAGAAGAACCAAGAAGAACTAAAATATTAGATAGTAAATTTTCAACAGGTAGAATTGTGGCTGGGGTTAGTGGGGTAAGGGTGGAAAAATCTCATCCTGGTTTCTCAGGCGTGATGTCACTGTGCAAGTTTGTGACCAAATTTGCCATTGTCTTCATTTTTCTCTTCCCTTTCTGAATTGTAAATGTTTTTAAGGTAAGAATTAAAGGTGGTTAGAAAAACTGAGACATGGACATAGTCAATGACACAATGCAGGTTTAAAACATTACTTTGTGTAATCTTGCTAGAATTTTGTTTTAGGGAAAATCTGTGTCAGTGAACTGACAGTAAAAGTGGAACAGCTCAGAGATATGAAAAAGTGCTACATTTTTAGTACATTTTCGTGTGCAGACAATTCAGGAACATTGTCTTTCATTATGTTTGAAGGAAGCTGGGCTTTATTAATGAATTAATTCATTTTTGTCCCATGAAAACCTCTAATAAAAAATCAGTCTGACTCAGAGTTGCCCAGAACATCTAGTGACCAGGGCCAAATAATAAGTTAAAAAAGACCTCAACAAAAGCAACCAACAAACAAAAACCTCAGAAGTTTATTCCTAAAGAACTTTTCTAAAACAGGAGGTGACAATAAAATGAAAGATAAAGGTTCTATGTTATGTTTAAATTCAACGTAAAAGACTCACAATGCAAGGAGTCCTTCTGGGCATTGTCTGTGTTCTCTGTTCTCAGTTCTCTTTTGTGTAGCTGTGTCTGTAGTGGGACAACTTGATGGAGAACTTGTAGAACAGCTCAGTAGGGGCTGTCAAAGTGGCCTAAAGTGGCAGTGTAAGCATAAGAATGAGCCCTGGTACCGCATCCCACCCTACTGTAGCAATTAAGTTTGGGAGTGAGAGTAGATTTTAGGAGGTACCTGAAGGTATGAAGAGGGTGTGGAGAGGAAATGTCATGATCAGAATCGTTGTCCTGAGGAAAGAACTCTGCCATCATTCTTTGAGCAGACCTGTGGTAGAACCAGAGGGGTTTACAGACAGTATTAATCTAAGTAAGAGCTAAGAGTCTTCACAAGACTTCAGATCGGGCAGAAGAGAAGAGGAGCTTGCTTTGGGAGCACAATGAACATTGCAGCTGGAGTAGTGCCCAGCTGTGTGCTTTTAAAGGGAGTACAGGTAAACAGATTAATTTACGTGGAGTGAATGGTTTGCAAGGTATCTGATGATACTATTTTCATTACGTTTTTCTCCAACAGTTAAAAAAAAAGAGATTTATATCAATACCAGTTTAAATAAAAGATCAGATTAAGGAGGAGAATGCTTCTGTGCAATGTACCATTTATTTAATAAAAATTAGCAAAGAAATGTGTAGCCTCCTGTGTCATCATATGTAATTAATGGTTCATTTTCATGAAATGTATTTAGCTAAGGACTTACTATCCTCTCCTGACAGAGTTTGTACTTTGTTTTAAATGGTTCAGCAGTAACATTTGCAGTACAGTGAATTTTAAATGGAATGTTGTTGACTGTACGTTGAACAGGAGTTCAGAAGCAATGCAGGCTTGATTGGCAGAGTATTACTTTTTTAGTAACATGGATTCTATTTTTTACCTTGTGTGTGTATTTTCTTTTCAGTAATAATTTTATATTCCAATAAAACCTAGAAAATTTAAATAAACATCAGAATTACATTGTTAAAATATACCCTGCATATCTTGTAGCACAGCGTAACATTTGAAGCTGTTTATGCCTCTATGAGGCTGTTTCAACTGCCAGGTCATTTTTACTTGTATAAGAAAGTTAATGACACTTCTTCCCTTAGTGTAAGTACTGTAGAAATTTTGAAGGGTTGGAAAACTGTCAGTGTAAATCGGGGGTTTACACTTATTGAAATTTGTTTAGTTAGTCTCAGAATGATTATTCTTTCTGTTACAGAAATGTATAAATGAAAACCAAAATCCCTCCCTTGAAGTGACAGTTTTTAAATTTTTAGGGAGTGTTTATGTTAAAATTGTTTTGGTTGTATTTTAAGTGGTTTTTACCAAGTCAGCTTGATCCTGATAAAGTTCAGTTATGGCAGAATGGAGTACATAAGGAAAGGTGAATATTTATTAGCTTTTGTTGAATTTACTTCTGCTGAAGTTAGGCTATATTTGGGAATTATGCTTTATTGTAATTTGGGAAATAATAGCAATAAAAACAAAAAACATTGTGCCCTTGTGCAAATTCATAATGAACAGTAATAAATGCTTTGAGAGGGTACATGCTTATCTAAACCAAAAAGGCTTTGAAGAGAAATTATAGTGGATAGCCTGTAAAAATATTTAGATTGTGTAAAGTTATTTGCAGAACTGTTTGCAGCAGGATAAAATTATGTGTTCACCTGATGCAGTTCCACATTTCAGTCTAGTTGGATCACTTCTCTGCAGTGTTTATTCTTGTTGAGAAAAGAAATAGTTTAACCCAGGAGTTATGCTGGAACACTTTGTTCTGTCAAGCCTCCTCTTTGTATCATGTTGCTGATCCTCTAGCTATTTTCTTTTATTTCTTTACATGCTGTGGTTGATGGATCTGTCTCTTGCATGATCAGTGCTGCTCCAGCCATGATACCATTTCCAAATTTAGATGCTAATTTGCAGATAGGTTGATCTCTGTGTTCAGTTGCTCTATGAATCAATTTACTGTGCCTACCAGCTTTTTTATCCTGGTGCTGCGCTATCCTTTTGCTTGTTTTCAGCCACTTCAGTGTTGAGTGTAGATTTTTTTCCATTTTGGCATCCAGGCACAGAGAGTTTACTTTTAGAGTATCACTTGGGATGGTGACTGCCATCACAGGATACATCACAGCAGGATACTTTGCCAAAATTAAAGGCAAAGATTTACAGACAAGATTGCTAATGGCACCTTAGGCACCAGAAAGTATGGCAAAATTTTGAAAGTCCCAAAACTATCCTGCTCTTCTGTACAGCTGAAGAACAGAGAATGCAAGGAAATGTTGTAATGAGATTTTGTTTTATGAAGGAAGGTCTAACAGCCAGTTGCTTCTTGATTTGCAAGAACATGGACACCCAATACCTAGACCCCAGTGCCCTATCATAAGATTATGCACAATGGTAGTTTTATGGGAAAAGAAACTGTTAGGTATTAACATTTATTAAAAATAACTTGTTATTCCTTGCTGAAATGTGCTACATTTGTCCCTGTTTCCTTTCAGGGCTCTGTGTTGGCCTGACTCAGCCTCTGAATATTGTGACTTTTTTCCCCTGGTCTGGCTGCCTCCCTTTACCTTCATGGATTGTTCCCCTATATTGCTCACTGCCTGTTACCCTGCTTGTGATAGTCTCCTTATAGTACCAGATATTATTTTTCTTCTAGAAGTAAGATACTCTTTCATCAAGATGTGTGTATTGAAATTGGAGTCTGTAGTTCTACTGGGTGTGTGCTGCATTTTGATCATGCAGGAAATTAATTCAGTTCATCAGTACAAATCTCATCGAGGTGGGTTTTTTCCCCAATAAACCCTAGCCAGACATTTTTATCTTGTAAAGTTGTAGTAATGCTTTTTATATAAATAAAGTTTTGTCAACATATTTTTCGTTCCACCAAAAACTCAGAGGATGAAAGTGCAAATGAGACTTAGGCAGTATGTTGTACCAAGCAATTTAAAACAAACCAACCCTACCTAAAATATAAACACCTAAATATGTTTTGCAACACAGTGCAACATCTTATAAGTTAGATCAGTTACTCCAAAGGAAAAATAAAATTATGTGGGAGACCTGGTCAAGTAATTTTGGAACATTAGCTCTGCTAAGTCTCCTTTATTCCTCAGTTTAGTTCCCATAAACACACATAAATTTCAAAGAGGCACCATGCTGTTAAGTTTCAGCAAAGCAGTTCTGAAAGATTACCTTTCACTTAGCAAAATGGGTGTTTTCCCTGGTTATGTCATATAGAGGCAGGGTACGTTCTGTGTGAGAGCTGGCTGCAGCTATTAGTTGGACTGTTTACCGGATTCTTACCTTTCAGCCATTTAATTTCTGATTTGAAAACTGATCAAGAGGGCAGTGAGTCCCTAAGAGTTTCTGTGGCTCTCTTGCTCTGCCTAGCACTTAGGAATATATCGATCCTAATGCAGTAGTGAACTAAAGGGAAAGTGTAAATTGGAAGAGGCCTTGGCAATTGAATCCTGAATTGGCAAGAGTGGAGGCAGAAGTGCTCCTATAATTTGGTGTGGAATTTTCACATTTCTTATATGAAAATTTGTCTCAGTATGGCATTTTTTAGCCAAGAGAAGAAAATTACACTGGAAAGAGGCTAAAGATAGAAGTTTTGGTAAATTAAAGATTAGTCCAAGAATATTTGCTGCAGCTGCAGAAGGGCTAGGAATGAATGAAATAGAACTTGACTGAATAAATGGGCACCAAGGGGTGAAGGTAACTGTGGAGGTTGATGCACTAATGTAATCCTTGGAAAAAGTTTTCCCCGAAGTGCTGTCCTGCTTCCTTTTTTGACTGCCATCCTTCTGCATGCAAGGGAGTCACTGTTTTTTCGTTCTGCATCTGGGAAACAGGCTCTGTTGGTAACAGTTTACAAGAAAGACCTCTGTTCTTGTGGCCTTACAGGGAAAATTGGAAGTAGTGTGTAGACTGAACTCCTTTATCCCCTCTAATGCAATATGCTGTATCAATTTCCAGAATTTCAAGGAATCTACAGAAAACCCACTGAGAGTTGTCAGTTGGACTGTCAGACCTTCCTTAATAAAACAAGAGCTCACAGATGTGTGAACAGCAGAGAATTAAAATACTATTCTGATCGCTCTTCTGTCATGTCTCGCACTGTTTACAGTGTCAAGACAATTAACCCACCTTTTAGTAGATTGTACAGAAGCTTTTTTGTGCGTGATTCATCATCTGTCATTGAGTTGTATTTGTGAGGGGCCTTTTGCATATCTAAAAAGCATGTGTACCAGGCCTGACAGGTAAACACCCTGTGGACCTTGAGATTAAAATTAGCCATATTTAACCCAGAAGACGAAGTTGAATATTTACAGATGGGTGCACAAAAACTTCCAAGGAACAGTACTGCAGATTTGGCCCAGCTTGATGCACATTATTTTATTTAAAATTCCTACAGAAAAGGTACAAACCCACGGCCTTGCAGCAGGAGGAATCCTTTATAAAATACTCCTTGAGGCTGTTGCTTAAAAGGGTATATTTTGAGCTGCCCAAGAACTCCAGTGAAAATCTTAGTTTTCCTGACATTAGCAGTGATCCTTTGCCAGCTTTTACCATTGTGCTGAATGGAGTATGTGTTTGCCATTTGACATGAGAGTTGTGTAACTCACCACACCTTATGGTCTGTGCTTATGATGACCTTTCTTTCTCAAAAAGCGTGCTTACAGTCTTTTTGCTGTTGCAGTCAATAAACCAAACATAAAAGCCTTCCTTACCTGTAATGGCAGGGGAACTTCAAATAATAGTGGAAGTGCTGGTGCTGTCAGTTTTGGAATTATTGGCCACTCCTCTTTTCAGCTAGGGAAAATTCATGTAGACCAACTTTTCCAGCAAGCTCTGCAGCACAGAAACACCCTTTTCCATGTATAAATTGTAAGGCAAATTATAGAATTGTGGAGTTTTAGTTGTGTGTGGTGGACCTAAAGCATGCCGTGCAGTCAGCAGTGCTGTTAGGGCTGACAAACTGTACAGGCTTGTGAAAGACTATTTTTAATAGCTGCATAAGTTACTGCAATAGAATCAGTAGCTGATAGGCCTACAGCATATTGTTGAGTAGCTTTTGGTAGGAGGGGTGTCACATTTCTACTTAGATGATGTGGCCATATGCTTCTAACATATGCCGTGAGCTGTCATGGCAGCGGAGTAAGTTGCACACAGATCTCCCGGTGTTATTTTCAGGTTGGCAGCCAATATTGCTATTTTTTTTTCTAAACCTCCTGCTTTATTATCTGACAATAATCAGCTATTGCCACATTCCATGCTCAGAAAAATATGTATTTGTAGTCACTTCACAGAAACTTCTGAGTTTTTACCTGTTGTCCTTTTGCACCCTTGTGGTGTATTTGTTTTCTCTTCTTGGTCTAGCTGTAGAAGAGGGAGATGCTGTAGCAGCTGGTCCTGCTGTTGCTGGAAAATCTGCAGCACCATCTGTGTGGTAGTGTCATGGTATGATTATAAAGCTGGTTGGTGCCTAATTGTCTGTGTGGAGTGCATTTCAGTACAAAAGGTCATATATACCCAGTAGTCACAGCTGCAGTGGGGAATGTTTGGTACACACTTGGCTTTTTTGGTCTGAAAATGACTTTTCTTATCTGAAGGAGGTGAAATGTGGGAGGTTAAGTGAGAAATTATAGAATGTTTTCAGTTTGATTCTTTCAGGTAAAATACAGTGAGCGGCTAGTTTTTTACACGTATATGTGTGTATTTATGGCCATTTGTGCTAAGTGTGTGTGGTACTTGCTCAGAATATTAAGCATATATGTCACTGCATACTCCTGCTCCCTTCTTCTCTCCTTCCCCACCTACAGCTTTTAGCACTGATATAAAAGACAAAGACATTGAGTGAGAAAAAAGTTGACTGATTTTCTTTTTGGCTGCAATTACCATTGCTCAAGGAAGCAGTTTGTTTTGTGTGTAACCTTAAGCGTGTATATGTCTTACTTCATAACTTAAATCATGCAATTTACTTTCTCTTTAGTGCTTGATGCTTATTTATTTATTCATTTTTCATATTAGGTTAGCCTACACAAACCAGAAATTAAGCTGGAATCACTAAAAGAAGATATTAAGGATTTTCTGAAGACGTCAGGTTTGTAATACTTCCTTGATTCATTTGTGAATAGTATAGATCTATGTAAGCACATATATGTCATAAGAGATGAATATAATACTTAGTGCAGCTGAGTGTCTTGTCACTGACAGGAGCCAGAAGCAGACAGTCAGTGATTCCAGATTATTAAACTACAGACAGAAAGTTGAAAGGGAAAATGTTCTTGGATTCCATCAGCATTTTGAAAAACATACTATGCAAAGAAATGTTTTTATAATTTTATAAGATACTGGAAATTTTGTTAAAGTTCTGAGTGATATGACAGTTCAGTCACTTCTGAAAATGGAAATTAACTTTCATGGAGTTACTCTTGAAAATTTTACCTTAGTTAAATTTCCTGTTTGCATTGGAAGTTGTAGGCTGTGTAACTGTAATGTGAAGATTTTATGATAAGTGATTTAAAATTTATAATCATCAGGACTGTGTCTGTTAATATTAATAGATGTTTTAATAAAATGACGTCTTTGAAAAAATAGGATGTAATTTTTTAATGAAAACTATGTTGTAATTATTTGAGCAGCAGAAGGAAATAAAGGATATTCAGTCTTTACACAGGTTTCAACTTGTAGTTTTCCTGTCTGAATTGGATTAAGGTTTCTTCATCTCTTCCTGTCTGTCTGGTAGGTAGACAGGAACTGAGCACAAACAGAAAACTCCAGTGACTGCAAAGCAACCTCTGATTCATGTTCTGTTAGTATTAACTCCTGAAGTTGTCTTCTGGTTATTTTTTTATTTTAACAGGTTGGGAAAAGAAGCTTCAGAATGCTGTTTATAGTGAACTCAACGTGTGAGTTTATTTAGTATTTTTATTTAATGAGCTCTAGTCCCATCCTTTACTTCTGATTCATTTGTATATGTAGGTGTATAATGTGTTGCTATAATCTGCAAGATCTGGCATACCAACAGTACCTGCTTCGTTTCTGTTTTTAAAGTATCATTATTTTTTTTCATCCTAGTGAAAATATTGGACTGACGTACTATTTAAAGAATGAGTGAAACAAATATCACCAAATCACCAAATTTGTTAGTTACTTTAGTATTTTCTTGCTTTATTTCCAAAGGTACCAACAGTCATAATACAATTCTTGTGTATATGAGGTAGTTGCTGCAAATGAGTTTTAATTATTTTCAGATGTTTATTACAGCATTGCACATAGTTGTTGTATTATTATTTTTAAAATTCTTTAAGATATTGGATCTCTAGGCTTACTAGTGTGTACAGTGTTCATCATGCTTGGGATATGGTTATAAACACACTAAAATTGGTCAAGTTTCCTTTTTATTACTGTTCAGCAAACTTTGGATTAGACTTTTGGGAAGCATAAGTTGATTTTACATTCTGGCACATTGGAAAGCTGAATTTCATAACAGATATAGCCTTAAATGCAACTATAAAATAGGAAATGTGTATGGAAATCTATTCGTGCTAACTTAAATAAGCTTTTTAGAGTTACCAGTTTGGCACAATGTGTCTTAGTAGTACCCGGCCAAATGCTTCTGTCTGTCAATAAGGATTCATCTTCATCATCTTTCCAGGGAAAAATATTTACCTATCTCTAGGGCTAATGCTAATTCTTTCTTTGAGTTCACGGAAATAAGCAGCAAAATAACGAAATTAGCCCTGGAAAATTGAAATTAACTAAGAATACCAAGATTTCATGAGCACTGTGGAAAAAGACAAGAAAGAGCATTGCTGAAATCTGTTTGTAGTGATTCCGTTTTACACATAGGGACACAGTAGTCCAGAACTCATTCGCAGCAAGTAAAAGAATGACTTTATCAGTTAAAAATGGGAAGAAATTTGGGGAAGGTTTCCCAAAAACATGTGACAGGAACTGATTGAATACATGTAAACAAATGAAAATTCAGAAAATTAGAGAAGCTATATGTAAATTTTGTTTCCTGAAAGACATTTCAGACCTTAAAATTAAGCTGGATAAAATGTTTGGCAATGACACATTGGAAATAATCTGCATTACTGGAAGATAAATTAGTGTTTTGCTTTGTTTTTCATTTTTTGTTCCAGATTTAATATTTTGGCATAATGCAATTTATGAGTGAAGCATTGAGTTTTGCTTAGGTCAACACTTCAAAGTTCTAATTGCTCTAATTGATGTACGTGCTCACTGTTGATTTTTAAAGGATATCCTCCAAAAAATACATTGTCTCTTGAAAAAATGTAATGCCCTGGAGAGTGAGAGTTCCAGGGAATCATAAAGATGATATGATGTGAAGAGAATACACTTTTAAAATACCTGATTAGTAAATGTAATGATTTGATTTTATTTTAAAAATATGTGAAATTATAAGAGATTATTTTTAATATAAGAAAGACTCATGTTGAAATGTTATTAGTTCTTACATATTGTTATATTATTTGTATCCATAGAATGGATGAGGAAAAAATACTTTTAAAAATAATTCATAGTTTTGCTCAACATACCCTGTGTTTTTACTAGTGCTCTCGTGAAAGAAGTTTATGTTTTGGTTTAGAAGTACAGGATTAATTAAGCAAAATACTAAATCATAACATTTAAGGTATACTGTATTTTCTTTTAAGGTTTCCTCTGCCCTGTCATCCTGCAGCACCACCTGAGCATATTAAAGAACCTTTAGCCTATATGAGGAAAGCACAGGTTGGTGGTTCAGTTTTATCCTTCATATCAGATCTTTAATTAGATTATTTGAGGTTTACTCTGTAGAATGTGTTTGTTCAATTTCTAAGGTTCTATACCTTAGGAAAAGGACAGATTTGTAATTGCATCAAAGTTAATGGTAATATTATATATGTGACATTTTACGTACATAAAAACCTGCTCAAGTAATTCTCCAGCTGTGAAAGAAGTATGATATAGTGGCAGGTGGGTGAAAAACGTAGAATAGACTCGATGTGACTATGTCAACGAGGAGAATTTGGTTTTATTGAGAAGAAGAAAAAGGGTAGCTATAGGTCGTTTCACCTGGGGCTACAAAAAACATTTTTTTGAAGAGACACACGCGGTTTTGCAGTGAAAGATAACAGGCTGCAGAGACAGTGAGATCTTCAGAAAGAAGAGATATATTTAGGACTTAAAAATGTGAAAGGAAGATGAAAAATATAGAGCTAAGCAGCTTATGGCATATTGAAGGAGAATAAGAGAAACTGAACTATAAAGATTAAATGAGGATTTTAGGTGTCAGAAAAAAAAATTGCTTCATTGGTTTTATTTTTTGCCAATATATGCCATTTGAAAAAAATTTTAAAAATCCATATAAAAATGTAAAACAAAAAAAAGCTTCAAGAATATGATCTAACCAAAACATCTGAGATAGTATAAAAGTGTATTTAACTCAGCCGTGCCTAGAAATACATTGTAGTATTGTTTTACAAGGTATTTAACAAATTGTGTTACTTTTGCAATCACACTGTTTTTTATTCCAAGAAGCCTTACCTTGCTGTCCTAGGTTTCAGTCTTTAGCATTTGGGGACAAAGATTGCATTAACCAATTTTTCTTATTCTTGTGTGGTGTGAAATGTAATGCTACAATTTGCAGCCTGATTAGTGCAAAACCCACAGAGCTGTATCTATGTCTGTGTTTGTCTAAAGCAGTTTCACTGGTTCTTGTTGTACAACAGTGTATGCAGTACTTGCAGTAGCCAGTATTTTTAGCACTATATAGAAAGGCCTGTTATTTCAGTGGTTTAAAAATGAGAAGGAGAAGTCTTGTCTTTGCTAGTTCTAAAACATGATAGCTCTATTTCCAAGAGTGCTACTGATCCATGTCCTTTGGGGTGGGTTAACCCTGGAAGGCAGCTCAGCCGCTCCCTCACCTTCCCCAGTGAAATGGGAGAGAACTGGAAGGGCAAAAGTGAGAAATCTTGTTATAAAAACAGTTTAATTGGCAAAGTAAAAGCTACACATGTCAACAAAGCAAAATAAGAATACACTGACTACTTTCCATCAGCAGACAACTTCCAACTTTTTTATTCAGAGCATAATGTCATAGATCTGGAATATCCCTGTGCTCACTTGGGGTCATCTGTCCTAGCTCTGTCCCCTCCCAATTTCTTGAGCACCCTCAGCCTCCTTGCTACTGAGGAAGCATTAGGACAGAAAAGGCCTTGAAGCTATGTATGCACTTTGCAGCAACAGCTAAAACAGTGGTGTGTTATCAACACCCCTTTGGTCCCAACTCCAAAACACAGCACTGTACCAACTACTATGAAGAAAATTAACTCTATACCAGCCAAAACCAGTAGATGCTCTTTCAAACTTTTTCTTAAAATACAACTCTTTGAGAAAGAGTTGTGAATCCTTTCCACTGAGAGTTATTGGTAAATTATGATAGTTGCAAAATAGTAATAAATACACAGTTAGGGAACTAACATTATATTTTCTAAAACCACTGAGATGTGCAAATGCTTGATTTTCAAGATGACATACATTTATTACTGTAGATGATGGGTCTGTGAGACCCATTATCTAGGTTTTGGTTTGTTACCTTTTCTTTAAAGAGAAATAAACAATGTAAAAATCTTACAAAGTGTTTGATGATTTTTTTTTTCTGAAAATATTTGAAAATGGCTAAAATGCTAGTATACAGGTTGCTAACACCTTTTGGGAGAGAAAGAAAAGTGGAAACTTATCAATTTACTTATATAGGTATTGAAAATCTAATTAATGTTTTGAAAGTAGAAGACTGTTTTTGTTTTATTTGTAGATTTTTTTCACTTTATTTTCTCTTAGCATCATAGCAGCTGGAAAATAATATTTTGGTGCTATCATCAAAATTTGTCCTGGTAGAAAAATGTTGTCCATATAAGTCATACTCTATTTTTATTAGGCACAGTCACCATTTATGATGCTGTTTCCATTGTTATGAGTTTGTTGACAATTTCTTTATCCTTTTCAATCTTAATTAATTTTGCTCTCCTTCAGAATTCTGGAAAGAAGGGTAATACTCCCTGAAAACCATCTATGATATCAGTTATCAGAATGACTTTGAATCAGTAATTAAAAATGTATTAGTATTTTTCTAGAGTAGATATTAAAAAGTTCACAGTTAACCCTTCTTCTCCTCAAATTGGTTCTTTTTTCTCATAGGTAGCAGACTGTAGTTTTTGTACTGTTTTCACTACCTCAAAAGAAAAACAGATTTCTAGTAAAGGAAAGAGCATTACTGGCAGTGAGCAGTAATGCTGTAAGTCATAGACCTATAAAATGGTTTGGGTTGGAAGGGACCTTAAAGATCACGTAGTTCTCTAGTTCCAATCCCCTGCCATGGGCAGGGACACCTTCTGCTAGATCACGCTGCTCAAAGCCCCATCCAACCTGGCCTTGAACACTTTCAGGGATGGGGCAGCCGCAGCTTACTTCTCTGGGCACCTGTTCCAGTGTCTCACCACCCTCACAGTAAAGAATTTCTTCCTTATATCTCATCTAAACCTACCCTTTCAGTTTAAACCCATTCCCTCTTGTCCTATCACTTGATATCCTTCTGAAAAGTCCCCCTCCAGCTTTCCTATAAACCCCTTTAGGTACTGGAAACCATTCTGTGATTCTATGAAGCCGTTTTCAAATTGCAGTGCTACCTTTCTCAGTTTCTACTATTTTACTGAATGTTATAATTGTAACCATAGCAATCCTGGTGGTGTATTTTCTTAGTGTTAATTTTCTTCATAAAACTAAATCTTGTAAAATTTATTGGTCCCATCAATAAAATTACTTTATGAGCTCTACCTCTGCCTTTTATTTCAGTCAAGGAGAGTGTTTTGTTTCTGCTCGCTGCAGGTAACTCCGCTGTCCTGGAGAAGGAAGGATATCTTGCTTGGAGAGGCTGTATAACCCTCACACTTTTTTTTTTTATTATTTTTTGCATATTTTTGAACACATTTTACTGGGCAGAGTCTTGGCGGCTGAATCATGGCACAGTTTAGGACAACCCTTAAAAGTTTTATTACTAACATGTTGCATCCCCAATGCAATAAGCATATTAATGTCTGGTCTGGCAGTTGTCAGTCACACCAAGAGTATTGACCTTCATTGCTGCTTGGAATGAGCTGCTTCTCAGTCTCTTAAAGCTGCCATCTGATTCTTCTGTCCTTTTGTAGTTTTCATATCCCCCACCCCCAATCTGATGACATCAAATGTAGCCTGATGAGGTTTGCTATGGTACCAAACTGGGTGGGGAAGTTGCCACTTCAGAAGGGAGAGTCATCATGCAAAAGGCTTGGATATGCTGGAAAAGTAGGCTAACGAGCTTTATGAAATACAAGGACAAATGTAAGGTTTTACATGAGGGAAAACATAACCTAGGAGGGCAGCACAGGCTGGGGAACAACTCTGTGGAAATGAAACCGGAGGACCTGCTGGAGAACAAGCTCCATATGTGTGAACAGCTGGGGCAAGGAAAGGCAACAGGATCCTGGGTTGCATCAACAGAGTCAGCAGAGATAAAGATGTCATTATCCCACTCTCCTTAGTGCTTGTCAGGTCACCTTTGGAATACTGTGCTCAGTTTTGGTCCCCACTCTACAAAAAAGATGTGGATGGCTGGAGAGGGTCGAGAGAAGGGCCGAGAAGATAATCAAGGGACTGGGAGGCCTGCAATGTGAGGAAAGGCTGAGAGAGTTGAGATTGTTCAGCCTTGAGAAATTAAGGCTTAGGGAAGACCTTATCCATGTTTCAGTAATTAAAGGATGGCTACAGAGAAGAAGATGACTCCATTTTTACAAGGAGTCACATGAAAAAGATAAGAGGTAATGAGGACATTCTAATTGGACACAAGAGGAAGGTTTTTTACATTGAGAACAATCAGCCATTAAAATAGTCTCCCCATGGAAACGGTGGATTCTTCAACACTGGACACTTTAAGATTCAGTTGGACAGGGTGCTGGCCCACCTTGTCTAGACTCTACTTTGCCAAGAAATGTTGGACCAGATGATCCTTGAGGTCCCCATTCAACCTAGTGTTTTGGCATTCTGTGATCTCAATAATTTTACTTTGTTTTTTTAATTTGCTATTAACACCTGTTTATTTTGTTTCTACTTTCTAATCCTATGTGGCTTAGTAGTCTTCATGTTCTCTCATTTCTTATTTCTCTAGCAGCGAAACCTCACTTCTCAGCAAAATAGTAAATGCTCTGTACAACTCGTCTTTGAGAGGTTAACCAGTTTGTGGCATGGTGTTGTCTAACAGCAACATTTGTAAGGAATTTAAATATAAAAATATGGTTAAATAGAAATACTATACGGAATATGAGAAAAAATACTGCAATTTGGAAAAAGTTCCTTACAGTCAAAACTCAGATCTGTTTTGTTTATGCAAGAGAAAGTGAAGAGATGACTTGACTGTGGGAAAAAAAGTCTGGTGAAAGTGAGCTATTGTGTTTAATGGAAGAAGTTATGAGAGTGTCTTGTAAATGGAATCTAAAATGAAACAGCTATAGACAAGATACATATTTTTTAACAGAACATTTGAACATCTGCACTTTCCTTCATTTGCTTCCTGTTAATAAACTGCATCCTCTTTTGGACAGAACTTTGAGGAGCGTGGTTAGACAGTAACTAACTGTAGTAGAACTTGTATGTAGAGCAAATTACAAGTAATAAATAGAGCTAAATGACATTAAGAGGAGGTTTTGCATTCATTTGATCGAGGCTTGACTCATCATCCACAGAAAATTAAATATAAAACCCACCAGTGCAGCTGTAATCAGGGAAGGAAAATCCTAAGTCAGTTGACAAGGAAGTCAGTATTAGTTGTCATTAACTTGAGAGGAAACTCACTCCCATTAACTTGGGATAGGAACTATTGCAGTCTAATGCAATAGTCAGAAGAATCTGATTGCTCTTGCTACTTTCTACTGAGGTATTGTCTACTTATGGATTTCTCAGATTAGAGAACTATTTCCTGACCATTATGTTAAAAGAGCTATTTTTTTGAGCATTACAGAATACCAAATTTCTAAAGTTTTTAAACTTCTGACAACATCTAAGATATGTTTTGTGGAGAAAGACTCTCACTCTCTTAAAGTCACAAAGTGGAGAAGGCACTTCCTATGCACAATTGATTGAATTGCTTATAATTATTGGAAAAATTTGATATATGTTGATCTATAAGGAAACTTGATCATTAGGCATATATGAAAATCATTAATTGTAAAAAATACATGCTTTCTTTGACATCTGAAATATAAACAACTAAATTTTCTGGATTTTTGATTGTGTTGTAAATGATGAAATCTGTTTGATCTGTTGTTTTCATGAAAAGAAGCATGTAAATATTCCCTTAATATTTTTTCAGATGTCAGCTAGTGACTCTTGCTATCCTTTCTTATACATGACTTCAGAGAGCTACTTGTTATTACATGGTAAATGCAATTTTCAGGAAAAATAATTTTTCTATAATTTATTTTTTGTATGTGTTTTAGGGAAGCTGGGAGAAGCGAATTCTAAAAAGTCTGAACAGCATGTGCACAGAACTCAGTATCCCACTAGCTCAGAAGGTAATGCAATTTTCTGTTGTCAAACTGACTTTGTTTTTTAAATTAGGCCTTGTCTTGCATGCTTGTAATGTAATGTTCATTTTGCAAATGGTTATCAAGAGCTGCATGTCCGATATCCAAATAATTTCAGTGCAAAATAATAATATATGGGTATGTCTTGTAATATTTTCTTAAAAGTAGTTATTTAAAAGATGTTTGGATAGATAGATATGGAGATTTTAGATATATATATATTTATATATATAGGTAGAGTGGAAATGAATACATCAGCTCAACTTGGGAGAAAATGAAGGGCATAGGTAGATTTTCCTCTTTGCTGCTGCAGTAATTATCCTGTTGAGGGATATTGCAGCACGTTGGAAAGCTAATTATTGTGTTCATTGCTCTTAAATAGAGCATTCTCTGTGCAAACTCAGCAGTGTAAGTTCTAGCTGTGCAGCCTGTGTGTGATACAGATGTACTGTGTGTGCCAGAGAAGGCAGTAGTTGAACTGGTACAGTAGGGGAGAGAAAGATTCTGGCACATTGCTGATTTTGTTTGTCATTCATTCTGATCTGTTTTCCTTTTTTTTTTTTTTTTTTTTATTAATTTAGAGGCTTTAATTTTAAAGATCATGGAATTAGGGAGCAATGTTAGAATTTTTTGTTCATTCTCCCGATATACCTCTATGATAGATGGCAGAACCTCAGTGGTTCATCATGAGATAAAGGATGCAGCTGTGTTTGTTTTTCATGACTGCCAGGGAAGGAATAAATCCAACAGCTCTATGGAATGGGTAGTAAATCTTCAATAACATGAAACTAAGTACTAAATAGCATAAAATTCATTAATAAACACCTGAAACTATTTAATGGGCTCCTTTTTTTTTTCCTGGAGGTGGAACCTGGGCCTCCTACAGTAGAATGTACCTTCAGGCTGGGGAAAATTTTTAAGCAAATAAGTTTTTGGTACTATTTTTTAAAGTGTTACATTAGTATATACATATTTGAAATGGTCATGTTTTCATTCATACTGTTAAAAAGAGAAGAGTTACTTTTTGTGCCTTTCAGAGGCCTGTAAGTGAACAGAAAGAACTGCTTAGTAAATGGAATGAAATGGGAACTGATGAGCCAGGTAAGGTCAAATAATTGTATTACATTTAATGTAATGTAATTACATTTTTGTACATAGAAAGGTGGAATGCACATCTTACTTATCAGTCAAAGATTAATCTCTTCAAGGCAAACTGATTTCAATCTTTTTTCTCATTGGTAATTTGTCATTATGTGTAAATAAGTATTTACTTGGTTTTTTGTTCCAAGTTATGGTATACTAGTATTGAATCATCACTGAGAGGTTATGGTAGAATACTCCATATTCCAGTGCTTTATAAATTAATACAATTAGGACACAGCTCCTCTCAGAGTGTAAACTCAGGCTGATAGAAAGACAGTGTTCAGAACTGTGGATAATTAAGCTCAGACTTTTTCTTGAAAAAGGTAAAAATAACTATTGCACAGAATAGTCAGTGATATATTTTTGGAGAGCAAAACTAATTGCATTGCTAGTCCATATCCAAGTTCCTTAAAATAAAGGATTTTTCAAAGGTGGTAGTTTCTATCACAGTACCACCTGTCCGATGGCAGATACTTTTCATGGATTGTTTATGACTACTCCCTAGTTTTTGTTTGACAGCAGTATGTGCAATTCAACAGTCTAAGCTGTTAAGAAATACCCTGCTTTTGAATATCCTGTCTCATGTCTAGAAATGGTTCAGTCTCAAGACTTATGAGATTAAGTAAAAGCATCCTGTGACTCCTGTTCACTTCATAGAATCATAGAATGGTTTGGGTTGGAAGGGACCTTAAAGAACAGCCCTTTTCAGTAGGCATTATCAGTAGCATAATTGTGAGAGAATATGTGGTGATTGTAGGTGTGATATCTGTGATAGTGTTATTTTGATCTTTGCTCTAATATGTTATTCAGATTGCTAGATTGTGTTATAGATATGGTGTATGTTTTTTTCATATTTTGGTTTTAACATAGTTCATTGAAATCTCATTTCAGATCTAAGTCTCTTCCGGCCTGTTTATGCACCTAAAGATTTCCTTGAGGTAAGCATTTCCTTGAGGTAAGCATCAGCCACTGACTTGTATCCGTTATAATCTTTTATGTGAAGTGGAAAAAATAATTGGTAAGTGTATTTCATACAAGTTGTCCTTTATAGCAAGTGAAATTTGGCATATTTTTTATAACAGTCCAGGTTTGGACAAAGTGCTGTTGCCCCTTTTCTTTAATTGTGGTTTTAAACTGTACCTGTGATAAACTCTCTTTCTCCAAAGAACAGTCTGGGGCTAACTTTTTCCTCTGAGAGCAATTCTCCAACTGATTTTGTAAATTATTTTATGTTTTAAATTCCAGTACATTAAGCTGATAAATCACAATATGTGAAGCTCATACACTCGATGGTGGTGGATTGCAGACTTATATGCAGTTGAAATTGTAGGTCGTCTATGAAGACTGTAAAAAATCAGACATGAAAAGGGACTGTGTGGAATTTGGAGGCTTTTGTCTGTAATCAAACTGAACCATTAAAAGAATGGTGACTGTGGATTTAAACTCAGAAATGACAGTAATATTCATAATTTTGTATGGCTCAAGCACAGAACATCTTAGTAAAATCGAACTTGCTTTACCAGCTGTGTTTAGAATAAGCATAAAATAATGGACAGTGAATGACAATAGTGAACTTAATGGTAACACAGTAGGAGATTTTTTGATTAAAATGTGATTGGAAATAAAATTTTTAAAACTTTTATCGGTATATACTTTGAGTATATACATACTCATCCAGAGCATGACAACAGTGTAGAATTCTGGAGTTAAGGTGGCCTCCAAATTTACAGAGTCAAACTTAGAAGTTTGACTGAATTATCGGTCAGAATTAATGTATTCGCATTTCAACGTGTTTCAGTGCAAATTTAGTGGAATGTGCTTTGTAGTTGTAGAGGAGATTATAGTGTTTCTGACTTAAGTGTAAGTTGTTTCATGGTTATGAATTGTGAATGCATTTCTGAATCCAACAGTAAACTCTCTATCCTTTTTATGACATTTCTAAAGAGCTCCTTTTGTTCACTTGTCATAAGAATCTTAAAAATGTTTCATTTATTCTGTTTTCCGTCACTAGACTAACAACCAACTTGTGTTCCTTAATCTTGGATCTGTAAACAAATCAATCTTCTTTTTAGCCCTATCCAATGACCCTCACGATCACTCTCTTTTTCCTTTATACTGTTTCCTTTCCAGAGTTTACAGTTTCTTTAAATTTACAAGTCTGACAGTGAGGTTATATGGTATTAGACTACTTACAAGATTGAGAATTGTAGAGGTAGGATGTTATTAAAGAATTTCATAGCAGTTGGAAAGTCGTGTTAGAAAGAATACTTGCAGTTCAACATCGTATCAAAATCTATACCATGGAATAACAATATGGAAGAGACTTTAAATTCCTTATAGATCACAGTTATTTATCTTGACATGATTCCTTGTCCTTTAAATTTTATACTTGCTTTAGGTTTTCAATTCTGTAATTACTTTTGTTCTTAAATGAAAGAAGATATTTAGATATATTGTTATTTAGTAAGAAATTATTTTAGTAGTAAGTTATGTAGCACTTTGATTGGAAGCTCCATAAAATACCAGTGGATAAAAATTCTTTCAGAGAAAAGCAATATTGAAGAATATCCTGGATATTGTAACCATCAGAAATATTCTGTTGGGATTTGAGTAGCTTTGATGAGGAAGTAGATTTTAGTTAGGACATTACTGTGTAGTCAGCACTTAATCCCATAAATCAAAAATTATTTCTGCCTTTTTATTTCATTTTATGAGCCTACTTTTCAAAGTAGAATGTGTTTGCTTCCTTAAATGTTTGAATCCTTTTTGATTTTGAAAATATTGAGATATAATTTAATAATTTGGGTCTATTTATGTAAGTTGAGGGGAAGGGTTTTATGCTGAATTTACTGTTTCTTATACTGGTGATGTTAAGAATTGAGTTCTGAATGTAAGCAAGGAATGACAGAGCTACCATTTTTAAGGTACTGATGAATCTTCGAAACCCAAATTATGAAAATGGAGAACAGCCTAGTTTCAGAAATCATCTGGGGCTAATTCAGGTTCCTCTAAAAGTGAAAGATATTTCAGAATTGGTAAGTATATTTTTTCTTATAAGAGATTTCTATAAGAGGTGGTTTGCCTTCCTAATGAAAGAGATGAAAAAGATTCTAAGGAATAAGAGTATTAGTATCATCATAAGTTTCTCCTTTTGAAAGTGAAAAACAATCTAAATATGTAGTTAAAATACAGAGCATAAAAAAGTTAAAAGACATTTTCAATGAAAAATAAAACATACACAGCAAATTATCTGCCAGTAGGGAAATTTTGATTTTGTGCTACACAGGTTTAATTTGTGCCAAAAATACACTTCTGTACATGTTATTCACTTAGTCTTTTTTTTTTCTATGCAAGAAACTTGAAATATGTACCTTAATTCAAAGTTTTATTTGATCCTGTACAAGATCAGTAATCTGATCTTCTGATTTTCTTCTCAAAGTAATTTTAAGTTTGAGTACTAGTGTATTATAATTAGAAAATAGGAGAATTCTTCTTAATACTTTGCTGATGAGACTCTTGGGGATTTTATCCTTGTAGAAAAACTTTCACCTGTGTTGGAAAAGAGCTGGGAATTAGAGATCCTTAACCTGATCTTTCATTCACCACTTTACTACATCCAGGTGTAGGTCACAGTTGACATGCAAACTGGGGCTCATAACTAAAACTAGAGTAAGAATTGATGTGAGATTCTTCTCTTTTAAAACCTGACTCCATATTTCATACGCATTTCATATGCATTTAAAAAAACTTAATTCTGTTTAGAAAAGATTTGCATTAAGCCTTTAAGAAGAAGTCTCTAGTAATTTAGAGAATTAAACATTGTTAATTACTTTTTTGTGATTTTGTTTCTTTTCAGAAAGAAGACTTCAGTGAACTAGGCTTAAATATAGGACAGCTGGGTATTGATGATTCAGCACAAGTGCCTCCTGGTAAGCTAATGCTGTGCTTCAGTCATTTAAATAGAACACTAATGAGTAGAATACTTTGCAATTATCAAGTAATTTGTATGTTTTTCTTATAATAAACCACAAATATTTCTTCTGTAATTGTGGTTGTAGTGATTTTCTTAGTAAAATACAGTTAATAATAGAAAACATTGCATATATGAAGAGTCAGATTTGGCTAAGATTTAAAATCATTACCAGAAGTTGAAAATGCATTGATTTCAGTAAGATGAAACACCTCAGGATCTAGAGAACCACGCTGACTGTTTCCAAAAATACAGAAAATATCAATAAATGTTAAGCCACCTAATAGACAGGCATATATATATGTATAAAAATATATTTTATTTGTATATACATACACAAGTATATTTATATTTATAAATATATATATTTAATATATACACACAAAAAATGTATTTTAAATAACGACTTTTAAGAAAATATTACATATTTTAATATCCATATATGTCCATATATTAATGTATCCATATTTTAATATTCAGTAGCTTAAATAGTGCATAACTTCTATTGGTTTTCCATGGATGCATCTATGCCTGTATAAGAGGTTTTAAAATGGTCTTTCCATATAAAAATGGAAATCACTATAGTATCAATATTATTACCAGTATTCTTTTTAAATGGAAACTTACCTAATTGAAAATCTAAGTTCATGTAGTATAGGGCTGCTTTGATATTTGTGTCCTCCAGACAAGAAATAATCCTGTAGTATTATTTCCTCTTAGATTTTGAAAGAGAACTGGTGCTGATGCAGGTTAATTTTTAGTGATGTAAGCAGTACATATCAGATGAATATAATGGTGTGTAATAATATAAAATACATCACCAGCTGAAGTATCTTTTTTTTTTTTGCCATTCTTCTCTGTGTCTTTATTTTCTAGAGTTCTTTGAAAATGAACATGTACGTGTTGGACAGAAAGGTATGGATCTGTTTTTATCTGTAATAAACTGAGTAGTTAGGTGATGAACGTTGAGGGTGGATAGGGAGGGGAACTCCAGGCTAGAAGCTTTTCCTTTTATCCCTAGTCCTGGAGAGGAGCGGTGCCCCCTCCCCCCAACCACGAGACGTCCCATGGCTCTCGCAGAGACCACAGGACAGCAGCAGGGAGCGAGGCAGAGAGACTTTATTGTTACCTCCTGGGGGGATTACAAAATGACCGCTGGGAGTTCAGGAGGTCTTACAACAACCAATGACAATAAGGAGTTAACAACCAATAGATGAGCTCTCAGTTATCTCTTAGACATTCCAAAGGTAGAGGTAAGACTAAGGAACCTTGGGAAGAAGAAAAGAGGGGTTTACACAAAGAGTTACAAAGCCATTTTGGAAGCATGTTCACTTTAAACAACCTTAAAACTTCTACATCCTTTTATATATTGCAAAGCTACCCCAACAGTTAGGAATGTGTTTAGTCAATTTGTATCTTAATTTCCATGTACCTTTTAGAATTTTAAGAATTTAGGCAGGCTAACACAAAGCATTGTCAGTAATACCATTGTAGTTTAGATAAGACAGTCACTAATACTGTTGTCATTTAGACAGAGACAGAAAAGCAAACATTTGCAGTCTACCAGTAGCTATCAGATAAATAACTCTGCAGATATTTCATTAAAAATGAATTGGGAAGCACAGAGACATAGCTTTTTGGTGATAACTTAACTTATGCTGCTACTGAATTTCATTTAAAAATGAAAATACTGTGGACTCCCATCTCTGCACACAAAGTTCTCATCAGCGTAATGGGATTTATGCCTGTGCGTCAGAACAGAGTATTTTAATGACTGTTTGCAATTGCAGAATATTGCAATACTTAGCCACTCTGGAAAATTCACTCATTTGTCTCTGCATACTGCTTTTTCTGAAAAGGTTCCAGGGTTGTTTTAGTAGGTTAAGAAATAACCTACCCAAAGAAAGAAAAAAAAAAAAAGAAAAAGATAAAAGAAATAATAATTTAATAGCTTAGGTTTGCTTATAGAAGAAACATAGAAGGAATAGTTGGAATCCCTCAATATTTGCTTCTCACTGTCTCTTGTTGTTCCTGCTAAACATTAGCACTACCAAAGGAAAAAGAGAAAGGATACCATCTCAGAAGTACTCCCTTCCCTCTTTTATGTGTTGCAGTAACAAAAGAGTGACCTATCTGATGTCTTGTTTTGTGGTCATCTTTCTGGCCTTCATTGTAAGTTTTCTGATCCAAGAGCAACTCATTAGGTACCATCCATGCTCTCTGTTCTTTTCCCATTCTTCCAAATAAATTACTTCTCTGGACTCCCCGAGCCATCCATTCAACTCCATATTGTAGTTCTTACTTTTATGTCTTGTCTATATAGAGCAACCTCTGTTACAGAGAATGCCTTAGTTTTTCTGTATGCAAGGACTCAGAATTTTGTAAAAACGTAAGTTAAAAGTCTTGACCATAAACTGAAATCCCAGTTCATTCAGTGGGAGTCCTGCTGCATGCTCTAATGGGTGTTAGTTATGACTTTATTTGCCACTGATGTAATGATTTTGCTTTTATATTCGATGTATTGCCAAGTCTGAGGATTTTTCTTTGTTCTACTTAGCAAAACTACTTTTTAATATTTTGTCTCAGAAGAAAAAACAGGACAAACACTCATGGACACGAGGATGAATCACATCCAAAGTCTTCCTAAAGTCTTGTGGAGAATGTAGGAATGTTTTTAATTTTTGCTCTTCATTTAGAAGCAAAGGATCACAAAACGTCTGTGTTAGTGCTCCGCAGGTTAAACAGAAAACTGGCAAACTGGTCTATTCAGTATTTAAGAGAAGACAAGAATCAATTAGATAGATTTTTAATTCCAAACCTCTTCCTTCTAAGTCACGTCAGGGCAGGTATTGTGAATATTGAATTTACTGAGATTTATAAAACCAAGTTATTTCATAGAGATTTTAGAAAAATCAGAGAATATGGATTTGGAAACTTCTGAGTACCAGTACAACACCTACCTGATGTCTAGATAGATATCACAGAAGATCTAGATAGATATCACTGAAATTTCTCCCAACTCCCTATTGTAAAAGACATTTTGGATATGAGTCCACAGTTAATCACATAACCTTGGAGGGAAACACTTGTACCAGATTACAATAGCTAAAGATATATGTGGGGTGCTTGGCTAAAACAGGCACTATGAACAAACCATACTAATAGGCCTTAGCCTGCCTTAGCAAGAGGCCTGCTTGCAGGTTGCAGGAAAAGTACTGGCATTAGTATCAGGCTGCAAGAATGTAAACTATTGAGATAATAAGAAGGAGCTCTCAGAGACAGACAGTGATTTGATGTGCACGGACAGTGCATGGACAGTGCATACAAACCAATCACATAGCAACATGTGCTAAGTAGCAAGAAGTCTGTTTAACTATTGCAAACCAATTATGCAGCGACATGTACTTATAGTTAACCAATAATGTAGTGACATGTATGTGTGTGAGAGTATAAAACAAATGCTGTAACACATAGTAAACGAGATCTGCCTATCGATCACACTGGTCTACGTGCAGTTACTCCGTGCCCTCTCGACCACAGATATTTGTCTCTCAAGTGTATAGATTTGAGTAAGGAGTGAGACGGTCTGTCCTACAGCACGTACAGTCCTGTATTCAGTATGAGACCCTTGAGACAGAGCAGCCTGAAGCTTCACAACAATGACTCATCTAAGCACACCTGTCAACAGCAGAGTATTTGTTTTATGTCAGTATGAAGGAAAACCAAAATGTTTTGAGAAAGAAGGTCTTTATCCTCCAGAGTACGCATACCAGTAATGAGAAGACATGACAGTTCACTCTGAAATGGAAGTTGTTGCCCCACAGTTACCTGTGAAGATACTCATATAGTTGGCGTGAAACAAGGGAGACACAGAAAAGCCAGAATGAGTGCCAGTCTCTTATTTGAGCTGACATACCACTCATAATTAAACAGGAGTATTTTGTGACTGTGTATGACTGCTTGTTCTGCCTGATGCCTACTAGCTGCAACTAGCCTTGATATAATCATGGATACATATTAAGTGCTGTTTTATGACAGAAGGTAGTACAGCCTTGCTTATTAATACCAATGGCCTTGTTTCCCAAGGAACTACTTAATTGGTAACCAGAACTTTTCGGTGTTTTCCCGTTAGCTAATGCTTCCAGCACGGTAAACCAGTTTTTAAAGTTAAAAATTAAGGTATTTGAAAGAAGTCTTACACTATCTCAATTATTTACCTGTTTTGTTTCTTCCAGTTTTAGCAGAGGAAGATAGTGCTGCAGCTCAACAATATGTTCGACAGGGATGTCCAACAGCACTCCGAGCTGATCTGTGGGCCCTCATTCTTAATATTTCTAATCAACCAGAGGTAAGGAACAAAGTAAGACTAAAAAATGAAGACTAGGTGAGAACACGAAAGTGAAAGTACATATTTTCTAGTCATCTTCTTCCAGAATAGAAATGCTCTACTGAGTTGTCACAGAAACTGATAAATATTATGATGTAAAAAAACTCTGTGCTGTGGTGAAGTCTTGTAGGCTCTTCCCTAATTTTTTAATAGATATATGAGCAAAATACTGTAGAACAAATTATTCAGTTGAGCTGGCTAGCTGCTGAGGTTTTCTTATATGATGCTGACTTTTTCAGGAGGCAAGAAAAAAATCCTGGAAAGAAGACCTCTCTTATTTTTGCCAACTTTTATAAAAAGAAGATGTGTTATAAGTTTTTCCTGGTTGTTTGAACCTTTCATCATATGCATGCACATATTTTATGAATGGCTTCATATATTATTGCATATAGTGCATGTGTACAATCAAAAACACTGAGAGAGGAGCTAGAAGATGTGGGTTGTTTTCATACTCCCTTGTACAGCAGCAGTTTTTCATAGTGCCTTATAGTTGATGCAAGTCCTCAACAATGAATTCTTTTGCAGTATCTGAAGCCATGCTGTAGTCAGTATATCTAATATACCTTAAAAAGTAAAATCCCTATTTAAAATATTTTGAGAACTGGGAAAACTTTGATGCAAAGCTTTTATTGCATCAATAAAAAATAAGATGCATACATACAAATTTGCTGATAAATGTGAGAATTGTGCAGTGTCTCATGTCCTTTGAGGGTGGAGCCATTTTCTTGTGATACTGGGGGTTTTTATTGGTAACTACATAGTACACTCATAAGTCTTGCCCTTAGAAACAAATGTAAATCTTACTCATTAACATCTTACCTAAGGACTTCAAGTTATTTGAACTGGTATTAGAATGACTAAGTTTATTTGTTTTTGAAAAAATAAAATGGGCTTTTGTTTCTAGTAAATAACATACTAATTTTTTTGTAAATGATGCTGAGTAATAATAAAATACTATACATCTTACGTAAGATGCTCAAAACTAGATTTAGGCTGTGATAGTTTGAATTTTATAAGCCTTTATCTTTTTGAGAGCAAAAACATTACAGATGTGAAATTACTGTTGTTGGTTACGTAGCATCTGCTTATATTCGGTTAAATGCTTCATGTTTTAAAAGCATGTTTATCTTAACCTGAAAAATGAAATAATTGAGTAAAAATCAGGTATGCTGTTTTGATTACTGAAAGTCAAGATAATAATCAGAAAAATGATAAATTTTTCATCTTATGTTCAATTGAAAGCATGACTTGTTATGGGAAAATACATTTCCTGAAATACACATGGACAATTTTCTATGATTATCTTTTCTAAAGAGAAACAAGTTATGCCTTACTGTTAATGTATTTGTCAGCCAAACTGTTATGTCCTTTTAAAATTCAACTCTATTTTATGGTTGGTTTTACTGTGTGCTTAATATGTGCATGATCTGCTGCATTTCATATCAAACACTTCTTTCCGCTACCTCTTGTGAATAGTTTCTCTGCTGGAGTTGAATTGTGTGGTTGCGGTCATTTCTTGCCTGTTAGACTTCTGATTTGCAGTTTAGGCTACATTGCATTTATAGCTGTATGAATTTCTAACTCACACAAACTGTGAATTTCCTTTCTTTAATGTAAAACATTATTAGGGTTTGGTATGCTAGCATCCAATATTGTTGTTTGGAAAATTTTATTCAGTAAAGCTCAGCCTCGGTATAAAGCCAATATACAGCCAGGCAAGGGATGATAGACAATCCAGAATCATAATCGTAAAACTGATAAACTGTGAGCTCTCTATGCAAGATTATTTAGAAATGTGGAAACACATTGCCTGACAATGAATTGTTTATTAGTTTTCATTTGTAATGGTACATTTTAGAGGAACTGTGTTAAAAGAGCATTTGTAAGGTTGCAAAGACAAACATTGGAAAGGTGAGCAGTGTCACAGTTAATATTGTCTGTGCAAACAGTCCAATTTGCTGCATACGTATTTTTATCGTATGATCTTGAATCACACAGTCACAATGATTTCCTGTGGGATGTCTGCATCGTTGCGTAAAATGGATGGCACACACTTACTGAGAATCTGTTTAATTTTTTTTTTCCTTCTGTTTGGAGTATTTCACGATTATTTGTTCATTGTATGCTTTTGAAACTGTTTAGAAAAGAATTTGTTCATTATCTGATGAGCTTTTTCTTTTCCCCTGTATTTTTTTGATTTAATAGGTTGCAAATCTTAATTCTGAAAATTCCAGTATGCAAAAATTAGTAATACTTTCCTTTACTACAGCTTTTACTGAATGTAATTTCTGAGGTTTAAAAACTTAATAAATAGGTGAGGGGATCTGTGCCTTATCAGAAGAGTTTCTTAGATGAGGATCAGTACCCAAAAGTCCCCATCCAAAAAGCAGAGAATCCAGCAGCAGTAATGCACTGGCATCATCTTTGAATGCAGAAGGATGTACTTTACAAGTACATTTCACAGATCTCTGGTAAAAGGAGAAAAAGTTTTGGACTCTTCTTTTACCAGGATGGACTTCCTTTAACTCTTTTATCTGTTTTCTCTTTGTGTAATCTGATTAGGTTTTTTATTTTGTACTTGTTTCTGGTGCTGCTGTTTCAAAATCTAGAGCTCACCTGATTAATGCTGGTTGCCATTCTTTAGGCTTCATCCCATTCCTGTAAACCTTAGTGTCTCCTTTCTGGTCTCCCCAGTGTCAGTCTTTCTTCATATTCCTATTTCTGTGCTTCACCCACTCATTCCTTGTATTAGATTTGAGAGGCAAGTGTAGACAGTGCAATCACATGGCAAGGGGAACTAAAAATGATTCATGAGCTGCCTACAGTTCAGCAGTGAGAGTGCAGCTCTAGTGCGAGGGATTTCATGACACGACACAGGTGGATTGTGCCTGCACAGAGGCTGCTGAGTAATCCAAACCTTCATTTTGAAGAAGGTGAATCACCAGATTCTGCTTAAAGTAGCTTTGCTGGGTTCTGCTGAAAGGTGCTGTTCTCTCTTGCTTGTGAGCTACTTTGAGCTCCCTTAAGCTCTCAAGTGGGTACAGTATGAGTGTTGGGGTGAAATTTTGGGATGTGGTTTTGTAAGGTCAAGAGGGCTGGTCACTGCAAGCCTGAAGTGTGCTTTATTTCAATTTGGAAAGATTTGGAGGTGTAGTAAAACAAAATATATGATTTTGAGAAAAACTACAGTCTATATAAAAGTGTAATACATTTTTAAAAGGGAAAAAGTTTACAAATCAAAGTTATATGAAAATTTGGCAGATGAAGAAATGATGAATTGGATGAAGATGATAAGATTTTGATTTTGTAAGTGAAATCATTTTAAATAACATAAGAAATGTAACAACATGGTTTTGGACACTCCTGAAACCTGCTAATAGTGAGTTAGTTATCTCATCTGGAGAAACAAATGCAGCCAATAAACAGTAAAAGGAGATTTGAATATTTTTTGAAGCCTAAGTGAGGCTCTTAAAATATTCTTCCATGTGTAAGTGAGAGACTGATCACCGGAGAGTCTTATGTCTTGAAAGTAATTCTGTGACCAATCACGTTTATGATTCAGATCTAAGGAATAAATTTATTAATACAGCATCAATCACAAGCCTCTGGTCTTATTAAGACACATGGGCAAGATCCTCTCGAAGCCTTGTTGTGGCTGAAAACCTGGCATGATTCCCAAGCCCACTTCATTTTGCATCACAACAATCACAACTTAAAAGGAACTGAATGACAAGTAATGAGCTAAAAGCTTTATTCTTGGAGTGGTTATGATTGTCTTTGCTTTGCAAGTCCCGTTTCAGTAATTTCTGATGTGTTGCTCAAACATTTTTGCTTGAGTTCTAGTTCAGGTAGACAGCTTGCCTTTCTGTTCATCTTATAATCGTAGAATGGTTTGGGTTGGAAGGGACCTTAAAGATCATCTAGTTCCAACCCCTTGAGCACGGGTTTTGGTTTGGTTTTGGGTTTTTTGGTTGGTATTTGGTTTGGGTTTTTTTTATTAGCTTCTTGTGTTTTAATATAGACAATCATTTGAGATGGCAAAAAAGCCTTTAGACATTATTAATTTGGTAGTTTTACACTTGATTAAACCACAGTATTGATGCTTTAAAGCTGCAACTCAAATATTACAGTGATTCTCTGTAGCTTTGAAGAACAGAAATTTATTTTCATACTGGAAATAATTTACATTTAATAAATATTTATGTATGATCCTTTGTGAAGTAATAGTACAATATTTATACCTCCCCTTTTTTTATTTCTCAAAAAAAAAATTTCCGTATGGTAGTCATACTTAATAAATACTTAATATTTATAGTACCTAATAAATACTGCTTTTGTCCTCATTTCAATTTAACAGTTTAATAATATATTAATTCTAATAGTTTTTAAGTGTATGCTATTCACTGCTTCTTAGTTTTTGATTAATAGAAAAACCAGTTAAAATGTTCCTCAGACTTCATTTTTTTCCATTCTCTCCCTCTCAAAATTTCATCTTACTTCCCATGTGTTCTTTAAATCCTTACTTCATACTTGTCCATTTGTCAAAGAAATCAGCAGTAAACATGTAAAGCTTGGAATGTACAAGTGTTTGTGTGGTGTCCATATAGATACCTTGAACTCCAGATAGTTTTGTGAGGTGGGAAGGAGCCTCAGGACAGCTGATTTAATTTATCTGTTAGTTCAAATCCATCAGAAACTGTTATTCAGTTGTAGGCATAATGGCAGTGGGGTATTTAGGAATTTGGGAGTTAAATGACAACAGTGCAATATTTAATTCTCCTTTTTTTTTCCTTTGCAAGCTCATTCTAAGGAGAAAGGGATAGAATAAGTAAAAGCAGAAAAGTGTTCTGATTCTTCCCCATCACTTCATCCTTGTTTATGTTCTATCGATATTCAGAAAGTAATTGGAGTTTAAAAAAGATATGAGTTCTTTGTACTCTTCACAGGATTTTTTAAAATATTCATCATTTCATCTTTGCACAAATTTAGGTTATTCAGAGGTTAGTATTAGCTTAATGTCAAATATTTGCAGCAACTCCCTGATGCTTGAAGATAAGACAGAACCTATTGTGGAGAAGTGCATGAAAATAGAGGGTAACAAAGAAATAAAGCCTAATGATTTTGAGCATTGGAAAGGTTTTAGGTGGAGAGAGAACCAAAGGTTGGAAAATATGGATCCTTGGTTTCAATTAGTCCCTTCATTCTCATTTTATTAATTAACTAAAGGGGAGCTCATTTTACAGTGTCTCAAGATCCTGAGATTAGCTCAGCTGATTAGAACTTGGTGCTAATAACAGCAAGGTTGTGGGCTCAATCCCCATATGGGCCATTCACTTTTCAGTTGGACTTGATGACCCTTGTGGGTCCCTTCCAAATAAGAATATTCTGTGAATTTCATTGAAGTCTTAATTCTTAGGGCTTAAACTAGAATAAAACATGATAGATTGCTTCATAAATATGAAGTGATTTTTTTCAGCTGAATACGTGCTTTTTTATTTTTCAATTGCTAAAAATTGAATTTGTTAGTTTAAACATAAAGTTGTATCTCAGACTGATGATGGTAATATTTTTAATTTTAGGATATCTTGTATTATGAACAGCTTAAGTCAAATGTGATTCAGCATAACCTTTTAGTGGACAACCTGATTTACAAAGTAAGTAGCTCACTAAGCAGTGATTGAATGATTTATATACTCCTCACTCTGGTATCTTGTTGTTTACGTTTTTGTAACAAGGAAAATATTAGATAGTTTTGTTTTAAGGAAAGTAAGAAGAACTAGTATGAACTTATCATGAACTCAGTCCTTTTGCCTGAGTTGTCTCTTGTGGAAGACATTTAATTTGAACTTCTAAGTTGTAAAGAAATGGTGCCTTGATTTGTTTTGTGAGAAACAAAGAACAGAGTATGACAGCTTCCATTTCAAGTTTTTACTTTGAATACTTCATCATGTTAATACAGTATTTTTTAATTTTAAAATATGGAGTATAAACTTAACTACAGTTGTTTCATGATTCAGTGGTGAAACTGTCTTCTTCCACTGTGTTGTTTAGCCTCCATGGGAGTCTGAAGCGAGGCCTTTTGGCTTCAAACTGCTGTATTTTTTTAATTACAGGATGTAAAGCTGACAGCAAGCAATGATGACTACTATTTTGTATTTGAAGATTATTTGTATCAGGTATGTAACTGTTTTTTGGTTCGAAAAGCTAGGAAATATACTTCTGTGGGATTGTACCTTCTTTGGAGTGAGGACTGCCTTTGCGTAGGCAGAGTACAGTGGGACACATGCACCTGTTTGCTGTATTACATATATTTTCCCTTCTGAGTAACAAACTTGTAATCTTAAATACATTAAGCAGGACAGGCTTCTAAAACTCCTACAGTGAAGGACCCTACAAAATGTCTTTCCAGTGCAGTAAGAAAATACAAAGTCAGCCATATTGTTCCCCTTTCCAGCTTTGCAATAATAAAAAAAAAGGAATTAAAGCTGTGTCATACAGATAAATTAATACTTAAGAAGTATATTCAGGGTTCCACATTAAAAAAAATTGCTTTAAAGTGACCTATTGCAATAAGTATAAAAGATCTTGTATAGCCATATTTTTAATTTAAAGACCTTGGTTCTGAGTAATTGATTCTGAATAAGGTGGTGATATGTATGGTTACTTCTAGGATTACTCCCATTCTAAAGCTGCTTCTAGTAATGGGGTACCAAGCTAATTTATAAAGAATTATCTTTGTTGTTGCCTATTAGATGCCCTTAAATAGAAGGAGATTACATCTATGAATTTCCTAATGTGTAGTTGATTGCAGTGTCAACATAAATGTCATGCAGCAAACTTAACATTTCCACAGTGCTTTTGATTTCATTAGTCCCGTCTGTTAAGTTAGACTTGCTTATTTTTTTGGTTTAGAGCTATGTGAAACTAAATAATTTCTTCTTTGATGGGAATATGTAAAACTGCTAGTAATTTAATTAGTCAAGAGACTGTCCTTAATACTTCTTAGTCCATACAGATATAAAAAACATACAATACTATTTAAGCATACTATTCTATCATGTCTACATATAATTTAGTATATAAGCATTTTAACATTAATACTTAAAACTATAACTTTGTGAAATTAGACCTTTTTAACTTAAAATAGTTACAATATTAAGGTCTGTATTCAAATCTGTTTCTGAATTAAAATTTGAAAACTGCATAATGACAACTCAAATATTGAGTTCACTTGAATATTTATGGGTAGGAGTTTTTCTTGATTTAAGGGTCAAAGATAATCTTCATTATTGTAACACTGTGTCTTCATCATGGGATGTGAAAATCTCATTCCTAGTTCATTTGTTACGTAGACTTTTAAGGCGTATTAATTAGTCATTAACTGACAGTTCCACTAGACACAGAATTATAAACTATGAAGGAACGTGAACTGGTGTACAATATAAACTTTTGTTTTAAGACCATCAGAAATAGATTTTGTTTATCATTCTCAGTATATAGCACATTTGAATGCTTTAATTTTTTTATATAACTGTTAACTAAAAGAATGACTACAGAATGAAAATCATAAAAGAGACTAAACTGTCTTTAGTAATTTTGAAGGAGAGTCACCAAAAATTATGTGGCTAGTTTTACTGCAAGGCTTTCAGGCAGAGAATATCTCAAACTTCTAATTATTTGTTGCTTTAGGTTTTTTTGCTACTTCATGGTATTCTTCAGATTCTTCTCTAGTAGAAAGCTGTCCATTTTCCTTGATAATTTCCTCTTCCAACCTAATTTGCAAATGCTTTGCTGCCAAATTATTTTGTTTGATATCCCCTGGAAAAATTCTGCAGTATGAGTCAATCTGATATGGGATATTATTTATCAATTTAATACAATAACTGGAATTAAATATTGGCTAAATAAAAAAGGTAATGAAAATTTTAGTTTAAACCAGATACATTTTGCACTGGTTTTGTGGATTTTTTTCCATGACTCTGAATTTTTCAAGTCAATGAGCATAGTGGGCTGTGTGTTGCTTAGCAGATAAAACATCCATCAAAACAAGAAAATTTATGCTTAAAATAATGATGAGGATATTTCATTGGATTATTGGTACCTCTTTAGCAGCCTGCAGGCCTTTTCAGGAAGAACACTGAAATTATGTAATTTATTTCCTTTAATAATTTTGCTTTCTTTATCCTGAAGTTTACATGGTTTTATTACTGAAATAAAATACAGTTACTTTTAATAAATTTCTTTTTGATAAAAGCTTTGGCTTTGTTTTTATTTCTTTCTGTTAGTGATTTGAATTAATTTGTTTTCTGTTCAGTTTTGATTATAAATATCCAATAGTTTACCAAACGTTTCTGTACTTGAAACAGGGTTTATGTCATTGTTTTGTTTAGCACTGTCAATTTTTTAATGCCAAAAACAACACATGGATTAATATGTTTGTAAATTCTAATTTCAGGCCAGAGGTTCAATTTGAATACTTTAGTCTTACATCCTGCATAATGAATACATAATAACACAAAGAACCTCACCCAGCAGTTTTTAGATACAGTCATAACTTCTGTTTGAGCTAGAGCCTACCTCTTATGAAGATGCATGGTCTTAATTTAAAGACTTCCAGATACTGGTACTAGACACTGTATTCCAAAAAAAGGGGGCCTCAAATTAAGGTTACATTCTTTCCCCTGTGAGAGAATATAATTTATGTCCTTTTCAGATTAGTTTTTTTTTCTTTCACCTCAGTTAACATACACAGAGAATTACATTTGCCTGTGTATTGTTATTGTCAGCGATATTTTGGCAGCTATGAAAATGATTGTATATTGCACAAAATAATATTTAGCTTAAAGTGTTTGAGATAAAGAACCTATTTATTTTTTATAAGATGTTTGTATCTGAGAAATAGTTTTAAGGTTCAAAACCAGAAAAAGTCTCCAAATATAACCACCTTTTCATAAAAAAATTAGAAAAAGAAATAATGCTCAGATGTTTAATTTTGCATGTTTCCTTTTGACAAATGCTGATATCTGGAAGATTTTTGCAGTAATTACGAGGAAGGAAAAATCCATTCATTTATATTCTCGATAAATTAAGTAGTGAAACAGCATCTAAAACCTTTCCACCGTTTACACCTCGACTGCAGTTGAAACAAACTCTTAAAACCTGCAAGAGCAGAGGGATTCAGGTGTGCAAGTCAGCAGCAGGTTGAAGTCTGCCTTACGTCTGCCCTCTTGTGTACATTTTTGATAGTGCACCTTTTGGTTGCATGAAAACATGAAGATTTTAAAATACAATACTAATTATCACATTTTTTACAACTCCAGATAGGATGAGATTCGTTATTTTGTTTCTATGAATGCTTTTACTATTTAATTTTATACTCAGTTGCTGTGAATACTGGATTTTTCATTTGTGTAAATAATAAAACCCACAAATATACTTTACAGAATACAGTGTGCATTTCAGACCTTTGGGATACAAGGTGAACATTATTATCTGTACTTTTTGAAAGAGCTGAATTTCTTGCAAGCATTCTGTAAAGATCCTGGGAATGAAAGCAAATGATCATCCTTCTGGAACTGCACACGTGTGAGAATGGAAATGGTTCATTTACTTATTCTCTTACTGGGACTTCCCCAGGTCATAGTAACTGAATAAAAAAACAGTCTACCAGACATCAAAGCACCCAGTTACACACACAGTGTCACCAGTGTTGTGACACGTTTGCTGAGAGGGGAAGAAGAGGAGGGTTGGAGAACATTTAACTGACAACAAATGAATGTGAAGGTAAAATCATATCAAGTTTAAAGTGAGCCTGGAAATTTGAACAGCAAAATAAACTAAGTTGATCAAGAACTTTCAACCTAATTGACTCTCTTCAACAGCATCTAATAGGTGCCAGTTAGGGCAGGTCCTTAAATTTCTTTGACATTGCTTTGTTGATTCAGCAAGTCAGCTGACTTTCATATTCTGTCTTTTTTACAGGTATTACTCTGTTTTTCCCGAGATACATCTGTCTTGGAACACTTTACTTACAGTAGTGCCACTCCACCCAAATCATACATACAAGGTAAAAGGAGTTGTTTTAAGAGAGATCATGTAGATTTTTGTTGGCTGCTGCAGTTATACAGTATGTGAATTTGCTTCATGTTCATTACACCTCGTAGACTCCATATAAAAGAACATCAATAAAACCTCAGTGTATCCAGTTGACTTCTGCACAGATTCTATTACGACAGTTCAGAAGCTGATCAGATAAAGGCCGGATTGCAATGATGTTCTTCTACTGCAGTTTTCTCTGTATAATTCTGAAGTGTTTTACCAAAGAAATGAAACACACAACTATGGTAAAGTCTTGACAACATCTGTCTTCATTAGAGCCAGAAATTTAAATATACAGTGTTGTATTCTGCAATTTCAGTAAATCTAGCAGCTGGAAATGGTTCTAGAATGTTGTCTTCCCAAAGCAGTGAGTTTTGCAGATATTTGTAGACAGGAGCAGAACATGTTGCTGGAGAACTGTGGGCTCTGTTCAAAGGTGTGGGAGAGTAGAGCTTTACCAAGCATACTTAAAACTGATTTTTTTAAAAAGCATGACATCTTCAGAGTGTTAGCTGATTTTTAGATGTTCTTTGGCTTAGGTTGTCATTATTTTTCTTAATAATCTTAAATTTATTGGTTCAACCCACTTGCGTTCTCTGCCAATTTCTAATGCCATACCTTTGGACTGTTTCCATGCTTCTTAGAGCCTCACCTGCCTTGACTTTACCCAGAGGTTCCTAATTTTTCTTTCATTCTTGAGTCATGTAATAGTCCAGTCATTTTTTTTCCCATGTACCTTTACCTTCTACATTCCCGTTTTCTTTCTTGGTCCCCGGTGCCTTTCTATTAAGCCAAATGTGATTTCCAAGTACTTATTTTGAACAGGACCTCAGCTAACAGTTTTCCTCTTATTAAGTCACTAGAGGTAATGTTTGTTTTCTAATCTTTTAATTCCTTCTTTGTTGCTTTTGGGTGTTTTCTCTCTCTTTAACTGAATTAGGGAGTTTTCTTTACCTACTTCTGGAAATGAGCAAATGGCTCACCTGAGAGCAGAACAGCGGGGGGTCCCACATCTCACTTCAGACACAGAGCCATGGGCCCAGAAACACAGCTATGGGGAACATCCTGCTTATTCCTAGACTAATCTGGGGAACGAAGTTGCTGATATTTAAATCTGTGCAGTGTAAATCCGAAAGGCTTATAGGTCCTATTTTTGGCTAATTTTCCAAGGGATGTGCTTGCTAAAAATACTCTCCCTCCAGATTACAACTCCTGACTGCTCAGCAAGCAATCTATTGAAAGGAAAAGGAGAAAATATTTTTTAGTTTAATGAAACAACTCATTTCTACAATTGGGAAGTACTTGATTTTATTTACATAAAGAGTTTCGCAGGTTAATTTTGATTTTAATTTAGTCAATTCATGCTGCAGGAAAATAAAAAAGTCCAGATTCCATTGAACCTGAAAAAAGTTCCCTGTGCTAAATTCTTCTGTATAGAGTGAACAGAATATACAGAGGTCTAAAGGATCTCTGATTATTCCATAAATTTTCATGTAACTGATTACATTTTCTAGATTAATTTTCTCATTTTAAAACTAAAGTTATTACATGTTTTAATTATAACAATTATGCATAATAACACCTTTTTATTTATAAATAAATTATTTTTAATAATGTATTTTTGATTATTAGATTCTGTACTTAAAATATGGTTTAATAATACAATGTGTTCATTTTTCAGGGAAGGTAAGTTATATGGTCAGTCTATCTGATCCGTGATTTTCTTTACTTAATTAGTCTTTTGTATCCAAACAGATTACTTAAATATTTTCTTAGTTCTATCAGAACTGTGCCATTCATCTTCCTCTCTGTTACAGGCTTAATGAAGCCTTGAATATTTTTTATCTGTGCTTGTGTCTGTTTAAATGCTTTTCCTGTCCCTAGGTCACTCTGCCCTTAACCTTATCCCCTCAGAGTTTTGCCATCTTCAAGGTCTGCAGCAAACACCTTTAGAGCTCCTAAAACACACTCAAATAAAATCTCTGTGGAACAGCATTGCTGAAATTTTCCTCCTCTGTTTTGTTGTTTTTGTTGTTTCGTCATCCTTCTTTATTGGTGCTGCATTTCAGTTTTATATCTGACACTGTACCTGCCTATTGCATTGCTTGCTTGTTTTATACAATATCAGATGGTCCATAATGTAATTAGTTATTTTTTGTATAATTGTAACTTAGAATCTACTTTTAAAATTTAAATCTTTACACTTTTTAACTGCTTATTCACATTTTCTTTGTGGTTTGATGGTTCACAGGAAAACTTGGAATGGAAGAGTATGCTGTTTTCTATCCTCCAAATGGTATGAATTATACTATTGCCTCCTCTAGTGGTAGATTGTAAAGATACAGAATTTTTTCTCAAATACGTGATAACTTTTCTCGCTTTCACATGTTATTTTTACTGTTACTCTGTGAAATTCATTAATTTAAAGGAGTAAGCTGGACTGAAGCTGCTCCAAATCCACATTCAGCCTGGTGTTAGTAGTCATAGAGTTTGTCTGTGTGGGAGCAGGAGAAGGAAAACAAGTCGTGGTGCAGCAGCTTGTGTTCCAGTCTTGTATCACCACTTAAGAGGATCTGAGTGATACATGCTGACATTGGTTGACCTCCCAGCTTTTCAGTACTCAACAAACCACACCCTAAAGCCTTGTCCTTTTGAAATATGTGTCCATATTAAAAATTCAGACATAACTAATCTATGTAATTTTAAGTTAATATCATTGCTGTTGTTGTAACTTCAGTTATTGAAATTGTTTTTTCCAACTCTTTGACCATTTCAATCCCTGTCTATTGAATCCTTTCCCTGGTCTTGCACTGCATTTGTATTTCCAGTTCAAGGTCTTTGCTCTTGCTTTCAAGGCCTTGTGTCACCAATCTTAAATCTGTGTCTCTGGCCTTGTCTTACCTTTTGTCAAAGCAGCTTCCTCTTACTAGTCCTATATAAAAACTAGTGAATGGGAGCTAAAAGCAGCTGGAAAGGAGGAGAGAGCTGCTGTGCTGCAGCTGCCAAGTACTGTAAATGTTTTATCTGAGTGCTACATGAATTACTGGAGGTCTTGGCCTCCTTTTTTTTCCTGCTCTGCTCTGGTCATTGAATGGCATTTACAGGTTGTCATTTATCTGAAATTAGGTTCTGATATTGGCAAAGCTTTTATGTAACAACTTCATGGAAACTGAGCTTTCCAGGAACTATAGCTTGTGTTTAAGTATGTAATTGGTTGTACTGAAGTAAGTGATACTGTACTAGAATATTTACAAGAGTGTGATCTATGCAGGTGCCATAACAAGGAAATATTTTATTCCTATGATGGGCAGAATGGAATTTAATAACTCAGGGAGGGGGGGAATTCTTTTTGTATTGATAAAAAGGACTATAAAAGAACAAAAAAATAAGTATTTTTGTTTTGTAGGTGTAATTCCTTTTCATGGGTTTTCTATGTATGGTAAGTGTGACTCATAAACTAAAATCTCGGGATTGCTTTTTATCATATTGCAGTTTAAAGCTGTAAGTACTTTTCTGCAACTTTTAAACTTGTGTGTATGTTTTCATGTTTCTTTTTTTATAAACAGTTGTATATAATTTTAAAAATTCCAGACTGTTTCTAGTGACTTATATTACAACTTTCTACTGTATGGGAGTTCCTCCTTTGAGAGCTAATAGCTGAGCTAAGCTGTGCATCTTAATGTACATGAATAGAGGGATAAAGTTTGTCAACAAAGTGCTCTTTTCTTGTGTTTCACTTATGGATAGACCAAGTTACCTGTGAAAAGAGTTCGTGAAAACATGAATTATGCAAAAGGCCTGTTTGCTGTATCCATTTGTCTACAAGAGGCATTAAAACAGCACTGTGTAACAGAATGGTTGCTTCTTTACTGCACAGAGGGAAGCACAAATATCAATAAGATTTTTAGGAAAAAAGCAGAAAAATGTCCATGGTTTCAGATATTACAAGGCAGCTACTGAGATGCACTCCAACAATGTGAGGGTAGTTGTCTTCGCTTTTCATTTTTTTGTTTTGATTTATCAGAGTTGTTTGTGGCATCACAGGGCAAGCAGATTTAAAGATTATACTTAAAATGCTGTATTTTAAAATGCTATGTTTTGCTACTAGTAAGTTTTATGATCACACAATCATTAAAATCACACAATTTAAATATGAAATGCAAATCTGAACCTGATTAGGGAATCTAAAGTCTTTGAAGTAATGAACACTTTAGTTACAAACTCCTCCTTAGGGACTCACTAGGAGGCTTTCGCTTGTTCTGTGTGAACCACTTTTCAAAATGTTTGGATTTGACTCTGCCCTTGAGAACAACATCTTCCAAATTTTCCTCCCTCCCTCCTGAGCCTTTGCAAGGGCTCAAAACATGCTGGTTGTGAGAAGGAGGGAGGCTGAAAAGCAAGGCAGCAGGAACACAGTAACTCCAGGCTGTGGGTACAGTGGCTGGGACCAAGCACAGCATCCTCTGTATTCCATGTTGTGCTGCTTTATGAGGGAGTATCTGGGTCCTTATGTAAATCCTATACATTTTTTCCTGTTTGCATGCATACATTTGTGGGGTGCCAACTGTCAGAGGCTGTTCTGTTACCCTCCTGACCTTTGTGTACATATGCACACTACCAAGTCTTCCACCTCCATCTTCAATCATTATAAACATAAACACTGATAACACCCTCTGCTTTTCTTACCCTATGTAAATACACATTTCTGTGAACATCTCACCCTACCTTAGCACCCCACCCCACCTCTCATACACAGACACCATTTTTTTCATTAAGCCACCTTCTCTGATACATAGATATGAAAATAAATTCACACATGCATGTTTCCATATATATATGTATAAATGTACATATATCTATGTGCATATGTATACATACATCTGCAGACAAATGTATTCATATCCCCAGCCTGTGTAAATAAAACTGGAAGGGAAGATGAATGTAGAGATAGAGACTGTGAGTGTGTTAAAATGTAAGCTATCATCCAAAATGAATGCACCTGTAAAATGAAGCAGTCAGCGTGGTGAGTGAACAGATAAAAAGGCTGTTCACAAAAATGTGTAAGGACAACTGTCTCTGAAAATGCATTGAGTGAATGGAGTATCATCTGATGGAACTGGCTATGTTTGTGCAGCATGTACATATAACATATTTATCTATATGCTGGGCTTTTACAAAACAACAAAAGGCTGAGAGCTGCTACTTTACTAAAAGAGTTCTAAACACTAAACCACCAAATGTCCGTGCTTTACAGATCTTCTAAGAAATAAACAGGTCCTATCAGTTTGTCATACTTACATGATGTTATTGTGGCAACCAGAAGCCTTTTGCTTTCATTTTCACAACATCTGTCTTCAAGCAGTCTTACAAGTGAAGTAAGGAGCTGGTCACTAACCCATGGGCACATTGGAAATTATAGACAGTTGAATCAAAAATTTGCACTGTTCCAAGTCCTATTGCCCTACACCCCAGAGAAACCAGCACTGTAGTAAGAAGTTCTTATTAGTTTAGATTCTTGAAATATATATGTTACCTAGAATGTATCACTCTCCCTTTCTTTTTACATTAAATGATAGAAGTATTCTATAACAGTCTTCCTCAATAACTGGTTTAGTATTGTTTTTGTAAATTGTACTACTGTAAATTACTTGGTTTTTCTTCATACTTCATGCACTTAATCATTGAACTCTTTTAGCAGTTTACAGTGTTGAGTCAATTATAATTCTTTTATCCTTTCAGTTGCTCCACTTTGTTTTCTGTACCATGAACCTTCCAAATTGTATCAGGTATTCCGTGAGATGTATGTGCGTTTTTTCTTCAGACTCCATTCCATCTCTTCTCATCCCTCTGTAAGTTCATTAGGAATTAAAACCACTCACTTAATATTCTGTTTACTACAGAACAATAATATACAGTAGCATGGTTTTCTATGCGATTGAAATGTATTCTTTTAAATATAATAAAATATTTCAGATGTGTTTGGGAAAATTATTAGGTAATTCCAGTTTGGATATTGTTGCTTTCTATGTCCATGTTACTCTTTGCAATAGAATATCATGTACCTTATTAAAATATTAAGTTCTCATTTTATGAGTGTGTGGGGTCTTTTATAAGAGTCAAGTGTTTTAATATAATAGGTTTCTCAGTTCAAGGAGTCACAAAATGCGTACTCAGTTTCATTAATGACATGTAAGTGTACAATGAAGTATTGTCTGGGGGAGAGGGACTAAAATATATGTATACAGATATTGTTTCAGTGATATCAAGTTAGTGTGTGTTTGTTTAGCGAAGTATCATGTTGTGATGGCACATCCTTTTTAGCACTAGTAGATGAATTTAGATAATTTGGTTATGTTTATGATCAGGTCCTGCTGTCTTGAAGGTAAAACAATTGTAGAAATGGGCTTATCTTCAATTTCTGAAGAATAAAACCTAGCAAATATTTTTTTTCCTTCAAAAAGTGCAGAAGAGTATATTGCTTTTTTGAAAACATTTCCTGGTTAAAAGAAAATCCTTTCCTTGATATATCATTTCAAGGCTATGTACTCTGCTTTCCATCATTAATAGCAAGGAAACAGGTCAAATAGGATCTGTTCATTTACATGGTAATTTTAAAAAGAAATTTTAAAATGTGTTTAAATTATAACTTTTTTGTAGTTATCCCCATGACTGTTTTGTTCTAGTCATCAGAGATACTTTTTCTCACACCTTCTGTTTTTTAGTGCAGCTGAGGTCTGTTTCATCAAAGTGGAAATATTTCAAGTCAGTCATATTTTAATAACTCACTAAGTACTTACATCCTGACATACAAAATGATAAGTAACTTGGAGCTGAAAGGGACTATCAGAATATATGATGTTACTGATGCATAGACAGAATTGTAGGAGCAAAGCTTTAGTGGCTGAAGGTATTAGAGCTGCTTGGGCCTTTCTTACCTGAGCTGAATGTTGTATCATTAATAGTGTTCTGTTGTTTGAATTAAAAATTCATGCATACCTACCTGCTGATCATGTTTTCTTGGATTTGACAGGATGAGTATCAGTATTGTTTCTTTATGCTTGTTTCTTTAGGGCATTGTATCATTGTGTTTGCTTTTTGAGACTCTTCTACAAACCCATCTGCCCCAGCTCTTTTATCATCTCCGAGAAATTGGGGCTCAGCCGTAAGTACTTCCTGACTTGTGACAAATGTTGCAGATTCACTGTTCTGAAAATGCTGTTCTCTAGTATTTAATTTAAGATCTAAGGGAAATTATTCAAAGGTGTGAACATCAGCTTGCATTTTTCCTCGCAAGTCAGCTGGAGTCCTTTGTGTATCTGTGCTTTGTGCGTTTTTCTGTATGTTCTTTGAAAAGAGAGGAGAACTGCTCTAAGACAAATGCTGCATTATTCAGCTAAGTTTCAGTAATTCATGTCAGACCTGATGGAACTAAGTGACTTATTTCCTAGGGGACAGAAGACACAGAGGTGTGTTAGTTACAGGAGAAGGTACCAGAGAGCAAGAGCATTCATGGCACCAAGTGCAATAGAACCTGAAAACCTCTTTGTCATAATTGGTATCCGTTTTAATAGCATAATAGCAGAAAGGATGAAATGTTAAAGGTGATAATAGCTGAGGATCACTCTAATGTGATTGTTTGATCAGAATGATAATGGGAAAGATAGTAGTACTTTATCAACTGAGGTGCTAAATAGCTTTATGATGGCTGTTACAAATTAAAATATTGATTATTAATGCAAGAAAAAAATGGCTATTCTTCCTGGAAGAGAAATGTAAGAGGATAATGAAATGTTTTCAATTTACAGAGGATGTCTGATCATATGGGAGGCAGAAATATAATAACCTTTGTTTATCCCTTGTCTGCAGGCTACGAATTTCATTTAAATGGATGGTACGGGCATTTTCTGGTTATTTAGCTACAGATCAGCTCTTGCTTCTGTGGGACAGAATCCTGGGATACAATTCTCTAGAAATTCTTGCTGGTAATGGAATTATTTTTACAAAACATTTTAAATCTGGGTGAATGTGAGGCAGATACATGTTAGCTTCAATGTATTTTGTGACAAGAAGAAAAAAGCTCTTTGAATGCTGAAAGCAGATGACATACATGTCAAAGAACATACTTCTAGAAAACCAGAATTGCATAAATACTGCATTTCTAACTAAAAATATGTGAGGTAGTTTGTTGGGTTTTTTTTATAGTAACACTTAAAAAATGCTTATTGGTCTCTGAACAGAACATAGGATGTTCTTCAGTGATTTTGGTAAATGAGTTCATCACCTTTCACAAAATACAAGATTCATGTTACTTGTTTATGGCAACTACTGCTTCAGTACTTTAAGTGACTGAGAGTCCCTCTGATTTTGCTGGATGATTTCTTCTTTTGAAGTGACATCTTTTAAGAGACTTTGAAAGTTTTGTACTTAAATAATGCCCTCATAATTATGAAGGTTTAAGATGGGCATTTTAAAGAAGACCTGTATCTTCAGTGGGGTCAGTTTTCAAATATGAAATAGCTGAATAGAAGAGAAAAGGGTTTGGTTCCATTTGTATTTATAAGACACCTTGTCCTTTTAAGCAAAAGCTAGCAATCTTAAACTTAGGCATTTTTGCTCAGAGTTTTCTGAAGAAATGTTGTGTTTTTTCTGTCTAAGAGTGGCCAAAGAAGCTCAAACACAGCCACTTGTTGTACGCTATTCTTCAGAATCAAAATGATTAATCTAAGGGAGTGAAAATTGGTATTTTACATCAAGATTAATTCTAACCACTAACAGGTCAGGAACTTAAATATTGGGCATTTTCTTTCAGTCCTGGCAGCTGCTGTGTTTGCTTTCCGAGCAGTCAACCTGATGGAGGTGACGTCACTGGCTGCAGCTGAAGTAAGGATAAGTTTCAGTTAGAGGAGATTGAAATAGTTTCTGATGCTTTGCCAATAGGAGTAACTTAAGCTTCACGTGGCACATGGTACATAGTGCAAATCTTTCTGTCTAAATTCTTACCTTAGATACAAAGTAAGGAAATTGAGAACATGCTGCTTTTCTGGAGTAAAAGGAAATAAAGGATATTTCCTACAAAAATGCAGTGTTATAAAATTATTTTGTACAATTAGATTTTTTTTTCTGTTTTAATATATAATCAGTGTTTATTGGGATATACTGTTTTTGAAATATTGTAGAGGTTTGTACCTTTTCCTCAGCACATTTTAATGGAGTTGCTTCTGTGCTACAAATTACAAAGATTTCACAAGATTACTTTGTCAGTATGAATCTGAAATTTCACTGTGCATAAGGTCATGGGAAATGAAGGAAATTAGGTCATTAAGATGAAGATTATTATTGTTTAGTAATTTGTTGGTTTGGGGTTGTTTTGGGTTTGTTTGTTTGTTTGTTTGTTTTCTCAAAAATATGATGATGAGTTCTTTCCAAACCTTGAGAGTTTGTGGTTGCTTTCTTTGCGTTTTTTAAAACATAATTCATGAGAAGACATTAACTATTTGAGGTATTACATTGGACTTACTTCACAAGTACTAGCCAAGCCACAGGATAACGATTCTTAATTCCCAATTATTTTTAGAAGCAAGTTGAAATGTTAGACCCCTTGTTCACCCATGATGCCATGTATATTTGAAGTAAGGCTAAAGGGTAAAATAAAGTTACTCGGGTTATATACGTAAACATATGCTTTTTCTTTGAAATGTTAGAATGAAAAATAATGCAATAAAGTGCAAACATAAACCAATATAATTTGTTTCTAGCCAGGTCCAAATCAAATTATTGACATTATTTAATTCAGTATTTGAATCTTTTTCTGACTTCTTAACTTGCTTTAAGGAAATTTGATTCAAATGTCAAGTTTAACAAGCCTTTTTGGTTTTCCTCCTAGGCTGTACTTGCTGATCTTTCAACCCTGAAAGTTATGCCTCTTCTTCAAATCTTCTTGTTTGCTACTGTCACTTGATCTGCTTCAGCAATACTGGTACCACATTTCAGTCTTTCAGGAGAAGTTAAGCATCAACTATGCAATGTCTTCATAAAACCAAAATTAAACTCTATAATATCAATTTAGAAATCATTACCTTAAAATTTTCTGACTGAAAACAGTAACTTTGCACACAGTTGTGTGCAGTGCATGCTAATGAGTTTCACTGTAACAGCAATTACTTGTACATTGAGAGTGACTACTTCTGCAAATAAACAATATGAATCACTGTCTAAAATGCATGTAATAATAAAGTAAATGTAATTCATTATCTGAGTTTTGTGATGTTAATTTCAGAGTTGTAAAATCTCTCTTTTAATATGAAATTACTTTTTCAAGCTCACAGCTTGGAGGATAGCCACTCAAATACTGTCACTTGAGAAAATAAAGATATTTAAACTTGCAAGGTCTTTTTTTTCTCATTTTCTAAGGACAAGATAGGATCATACACAAGTTCTGCTATCTCTACCTTGTTTATTCTCTTCACAGAAATTTTGTCCATGTTCTATGTCTTGTTAATTGCTGCTGTTTATTCTTTTCGTATGCAGAGATGCAGTTGTGCGTTCCCCGTGCTCCTTTGGTTGGGCACACAGCCCTCTCAGGCGTCTGATAAACTCCTACCCGCAGTCCCATCAAAGGCCCCGTGTCATAATAAAATATGTTCCCCTGCTGAGAAGGCCTGAGCAAAGCTTCCTTCAGAACTTGTTGGAGCCAGTCCTTGCATGAGACAAAATATTCCCCTGAGAATGATGCCAAGAGTCCTTTTGCTGTGCTCCACGCCCTCTTTGGGAGAGCAGTGCTACGCCTTTGACAGTTTTCCAGCCTCTGTGATTCAACAGCTTGGGCTTCAGTGCAAGATCCAAACGCATATCCATGTGTGACAGATTGTCACTACACTGTCGGGCTGGCATCGTCTGTTAGCTGTCAGACCTTTTGTGAGATCTTTCAGATCTTTTCCACTGATATATTTAATACCAAAGTTGGAATCAATCATCTGATTTAAGTGCATCTTAACACCCAAAAAAGGCTCAAAGTCAAAAAAAGTCTGTGATTCTTGTTGTCTGTGTTGTCTTGTGGTCTCTGTCAGGATAATGTAGTAAAAATATACTGAATTTTATAGACTGGTAGTAAATTTATAAGGCCAATTTAAAAAAGGTAATGTTGTGGACTCGGTATGATTACTTCTTAAAGAAAGAACCAAACTGCTTTAACAGTTGCAATGTATCCAGTGAGAATACTTGGGGAAATTTCCTTCTGGATAACAGAGAAAATTGATCTTTTCCTCAGTATTTGAAAGAAATTGTTTTAACTGTTTAAGTAGAGGTTTTTCTATGCCTGTTTTTAGAAGGGCATGTGACAGCTTTTATCCTTTACAGCAAGTATTGCCCTGTTTTATGTATGGGGAATGGAGGCATAGAAAGATTAAGTGATTTGCTAAAGATTACAGTGTAAATTCCTGAAAGAGGTAAGCAGTCTCTCCTCTCTTGAATTCCTGTTTACAATTCTGAATACTCAGTTTGTGTAGTACCTAGAAGACCTTATTTCATCTTCAGAACAACAGATAATGTACATCTACCTGTAGAAATATAGCATTTTGCATCTTTTAAAATCTGTAAGACTGAGTAGCAATTTAGAAATGATAATGTTACAAAGCACTCACAAGGATTGTGGCTCCATAAGGTCATTACAAGGTTACCATGGCTTTTTAGAGAATTAAAAGTATTTACTGAATAGCAAGGGAGATTCCCTACAGGCCTGCTGACCCTCTAATTCCCATCGCTCTGTACAAGTACATGGTGCAGAATGCAAACATTACCCTAACCCACTGTCTGTTCAGCCTGGAGGAGACTGAGGGGAGATCTCATTGCAGTTACAACTTCGTCTTGAGGGGAAGAAGAGGGGCAGGCACTGATCTCTTCTCTCACTGACCAGTGACAGGACCCGAGGGAATGGCCTGAAGTTGTTTCAGGGGAGGTTCAGCTTGAATATTAGGAAAAGGTTCTTCACCCAGAGGGTGGTTGGGCACTGGAACAGGCTCTCAAGAAAAGTGGTCACAGCACTAAGCCTGACAAGTTCAAGAAGCGTTTGGACAATACTCTTGGGCACATGGTGTGACTCTTGGGGATGGTCCTGTGCAGGGCTAAGGGTTGGACTTGATCCTTGTGGGTCCAATCCAACTGATCATATTCTGTGATTTTTTTTTCATTTGACCTTCCCCACTGGGGTACTTAACTCCTGTTCCTGACCCTCACCAGTGTTTCTCCCAGTGGCTGCACAGGGACCCTCATGCTCTGCAGCTCATGTGGGTCACCACACTCTCATCCAGGCCACTGGTGTGGCTGCCCGGGCAGCTGCTCCGTGTACCTGGGGTGAAGCTCTTCCTCTCACCTCTGGGGTGGCCAAAGGCCACAGGCAGCACTTCAGCCAGGACCTGCTATAGCAGCAAATCTCTTGGAAACCTCTGCTGCCTTTTGTCAGGCGTTTAAGTTGCTGTTTTAGAGACACGGAAAGGTGCCTACAGACAGAGAGACATGTATACAGGAATATTGAGTATAATTGCTTTAAAAATGAGATTAAGTTGAGATTAAAAAATGAACTAGTTCCTCACCTTAGGCTTCAACTTCTACTGTTAGATTTTTATATCTTTTTAAAATCTGTTTTACAAAGTTGCTTTTACTGAAGTGTTATTGTTTTCATGTTCCACTCAGTTACTCATTTAGTTCCGACAAAATATTGTGTTTCACTTTCTGGCCGATACTTGTGTTTTTAATCTCCCTTGCTTAAATAGCGCCCTTTCTTTTAAATAGTTTATTCTTCAAATATTAAAATGACTGGTTCCTATCTTGCAGTGAAATACCTCTCTTGTATATGCAGGTAGTATCAGTTATTTAAGTTTCAGTTCTTTAGAGATCAGTTCAAACTTGCTGATGTCTGTGGTCTATCTTTTGACTTCCAAATTCCTAAAACTCCTTTTTCATTTTTGCTGTTTAAAGTAATGGTCAGATATGATAGCAGAATCATATCTAAATTGATAATTACATTGGTTTAAACAGGCTCAGCTGAATGTTCAGTGGGTCAATTTAGTCCAGTTGTTTTTCTTGGTCTGTTCCACCCTCTCATCTGAAATCAATATTAAGAGACATTGCAGCACAAGAACCAATTGTCTTCGTATTTATAGATAAAGATCAAATTTTTTTGCTGCTTACCTTAGGACTCTGGCTATGATCTGTCAAGGGTTTTTTTAATGTTAAATAGACTTGTAAAAATGCAAAAGTAAATAGGCTTGTCTAAAAATGTACCCAACTTATCTTTGTTCATTACTTCCAAAAATATGTTGAAGCTAAAATCTTGATGGCTGGGTAATGGAACAGTTGAATAACTAGAACAGTTTATAATTTTTAGTGGATTTTTTTTGTCATAGTAACAAATTTTATTATGAGAAATGGAGAGAGTATGAAGACTGTAAAACAGATATCCCAGTAAAGAGAAAAGGCTGGAAAGAGTCTCCAGTTAAAGACACATTTTTACTTGTTGCCAGAAACCAGCAAATAAAATAAAATAAAATTTAAAAGAAAGCTAAATCATAGAATCATAGAATTAACTGGGTTGGAAGAGACCTCCGAGATCATCAAGTCCAACCCTTGATCCAACCCCACTGTGATTACCAGATCATGGCACTCAGTGCCACATCCAGCCTCGTCTTAAAAACCTCCAGGGACGGTGAATCCACCACCTCTCTGGGCAGGCCATTCCAATGCCTGATCACTCTCTCTGTAAAGAACTTCTTTCTAATATCCAACCTAAACCTCCCCTGGCAGAGCTTAAGCCCCTGCCCTCTTGTCCTGCTGCTGATTGCCTGGGAGAAGAGACTGAGACCCACCTGGCTACAATCTCCTTTCAGGGAGTTGTAGAGAGTGATGAGGTCACCCCTGAGCCTCCTCTTCTCCAGACTAAACAACTCCAGCTCCCTCAGCCTCTCCTCATAGGACTTGTGCTCAAGTCCCTTCATCAGCCTGGTTGCTTTTCTCTGGAAGCTTGTGCCTCTTTTACAGCCTTCTGATGAATTTTATAAAATTCTCCCAACAAAACTGAAGGGATTCCTTGAAACAGAATTGCTATATAAAGTTTGGGGAAAGCGATATAGCAAGCTGCTTATTAACACTAAATAAGCATTTTATAAAAAATACTGGAATACATTGCAAAACTGAGGGGCTGTATTGTCAGTGAGGAAGGGGAAGAACCTTTCAACATATTTTCACAAATCAGTAAAATATTCTGTCCAGTATTTTTGGGGAGGAAATGGGAGGGAGGGGACGGATGCAGCCCGGGTGGCGGGAGCTGCTGGGTGCTTCCTTTTCCCTCCTTTCCTCCAGGCCGTTCCCGTCCATGCCTGGCTGCTTGCAGGTGCCGCACCAGCGGCTTCCATCCCCACAGCCCACACAGGAAAGGCAATTAGCTGAAGCACATATTTGAGATCAGCAGGCTTCCTCCAGCCCCGGGAAGCTCGCTGGCTGGGCAGGGGGTGCAGCAGGACGGGGCCAGGGCCAAGGTGAGGGCCCCTGGGAACGACCGGCGGAGGGGCATCAGCCAGCCTTCCTGCTGGACCCGGCGGCACCAGCAGCAGAAACAACCCTTGTGAACAATTCCCCCTGTAGTAGCCACAGGAACGATACTGAGGTTCAGAAGTGCTGAAGGGCAACCGTGGTGGGGTTGGGTTTTTTTTTTTTATGGGTTTAAGACAGTACAGGAGGGAAAAAATACCTCTTCTGAAGGCTTTTAGCACAAGGCCACGCTTGCTGTGAGACTGCACCTCTGTGAGCAGTTCTGCAAGAACCATTTATTGTAGCAAATAAACACAGAATAACCTGTAATCTCTAAAATCCAGAATAAGATGTGCTGCTATCTGAGATCACAGAAAGATGTTTTTTCCTGCACACTTCATGCTCAGCTTTTTCAGTACCTTAACAAAATTGTTAATGCAGGGAAGATCATTTTGATCCAGTAGTGTGACAGCTGTGCTCTGCTTTAAAATGGTGTTAAAATGTCTCAGCTCAGTATTTTTTAAGTAGGCAGTTAGTAGTATGCCTACCAAATGATAGCATTACTGGACACTTATGCTTTGGAGAACCGTCTCAGGATACTTGTCTCTTCTGTGGATGACACAGTGCAGCACAAGTCAGCAGATGTTACTGGGGGCAGAGTGAGTCTGTGGTTAGGGCAGGATGTTTATCTTGGGTTCACCATGCTTGGTAAGACTGCGGCACATAATTGGTGGTAATGCAATCTCACTGTGCTAAATGCTGACAGGGGATCAGCCTTCAAATGAACACAAAGGGAGAAATACTGCTTTTTGGCAATTTTCTCTTTTTTTGAGGCTTTGTTTAAACCCAGGGATGTTTGCCTGCT